TACATAGCATGGCCAATGGTCTGCCACTGCTGATTTACATTTGCATCACCTTAATGTTTCCATAGCAGCAGGAATTACATTTCTCAGAGAAAACTGTCAGGATCATAGATGTTTGGTGGTGCTTTAGCTTAATCATAAAAAATGGATTCCTGCTGATAGTAAAAAAAAAAAAGAGGAAAAAAATCAAATTTGTTTTCCCCATGAAGCTGAGTCAAATTGATAAAGGTACAATCACCGGAAATTACCAACTTTATTAAAAAAAATTGGGGGGCTACAAGACATTGACATAATCAGGTATTTTAGACAACTGAATGGGATCAATTTTTTATCCTGCAATCCATAGATGTATTTTTAAAGTTTTTTTTTTAAAAAAACCTGGCTATTGGGAATAGCTTACACTGAATATATTTGATACACCTATTTAATGTTTACTTTATTTTTAAAGTCACAGAACTGATTTCAGCTCTTGTCATTTTCATAGTTTATCACTCGTGGCCGAGTATGATTGCCTTCCAAGCAGGCATGTAGCCGGGGGGGGGGGGTGGGGGGCTTCAGCCCCCCCCCCCCGAAATTCTGATGGTGGTTCGCGAAAAGGCCTTACTGGTGCATTATTTAAACTGTTATGTTTATTCATATCATGATCTGATCACCATACTCAATATATCCCATATGCATGGGGGTATTCAGGTAATGATACAAAAGGTTTGCTAGGCTAGACCCTCTTTCACTCAGACTCAGCCCCCCCCCGAAACTCAGCCCTCCCCCGAAACCCCCCCTGAAAATTTTTTAGCCCCCCCCCGAAACGAAATCCTGGCTACGGACCTGCTTCCAAGTGTAGGGTCTTGCGGTGGGTCCACAGGTGACTGTGGAGATCTCTACAGGTCTTCAGCTCTTGTATGCATGGGGAAAATATATTGTGTGAACTGGCAAACACAACAGGCCAGCTCGCAACATCTTGAACTTAAAAGAAAATCACTGAATTGGATAGATACTATGGCAATACCCATAAAGCAATGGCATGATAAGAGCCCATGTTACCTGCCTAGATTCAATTCTTATTTTGAATATGGATTCACAGAGATAAGACTGTTAATGGGTTCTAACCACTTTAAGTGGGAGATAAATACTAATATGAATATTAATAAGTAAAACTTCAAGGAATCCAGAAGCACCTTTGGGGCGACATAGGAAGAACAAATTTCTATCATAAGCTTTCATGGAAGAGAACCGTAACATTACTTTAATATTTTATTACATTTATTTTTACTCTTTTTATTGTTATTATTACATTTATTATCTTACTCTATTATTACTGTTATTACATTTCCATTATTTTATTCTATTCTTATTATTTTTGTTACATTTAATGTTTTACTCTCATTATTATTGGAAGGATACATAAGCAGATTTACATTGAAGAAGGTTAGAATAATGGTTTAATCAGAGTTGGACAGTCTTATCTTAAATTACAGTTTTTTTCTAAATATTCAAAAACATTTAACCTACTGATGCTTCAATTAATGTAATTTTATTGGTATCTATTTTTATTTTGAAATTTAACAGTAGCTCCTACATTTCCCACCCTTGGCTTATACTCGAGTCAATAAGTTTTTCCAGTTTTTGTGGTGAAATTAGGTGCTTCAGCTTATATGCGGGTTGGCTTATACTCGAGTACGTATGGTACATTACAGTGAACAGCACTTAATAGATTGGGCTGAAGTCCTTCTCAAGTTATTCCATTCTTGGTTATCCTTTTATATAATACACATGAGTGTAGCTATGAGAGAAGATTGCTTAAAAGTTAAAATATACTTTTCCAGATAAAATCTGTTAATATGTTTTTCAGTTACTATACTGTGGTTCTGCTGTGGTTGAATTCTGACTTTAGTACAGGTAATGGAGTGCAGTCATTCATGCCATGGAGACAGAAATACACCTAAAGAGAATCTATTTGTATAATCACTTCTCTAAAAAAATAACCTATCAATTTTTGAAGCCTCTCATGGCTTCAAGAATTCTGCAATAATTAAACGTTTTGGCCCCTTGGTTCCATTTCTTTGACTGGAGAAACAGCTTCTATCCAATTATTTAAAAATGTTTTAAAATGCTCTAGAAATGGAGTTCCGAGCTATGAATCACTCCCAATGAGATCTCCCTCCCAGTATAAATGGCATCAGGGAAATCTTTAATCGGGTTCAGTGCAGAACTCCCTGCAGTAAATGCTAACAGCTATGTCACATTTATGGCTTTCTATGACAAAATGTAAGTGGGAGAATTAATGCAATACTCAATGTAAATGGGCATTTCACCCCCTTCTGAATTTACTCACACATGGCTAGTGATTAAACTGAATCTTGGTTCAACAAAACAACTGCAGCACATGTTGAACACACTCCTGGGAAATGCATAGAGACTAGGCCTGGGCGGTTTCGTTCGTTAATTTTGTAATTCGTTAAATATTCGTTATTTTTAGCATTTACGAAACGATTACAAAACACATTTTCAAACCCGGAAGGGTTTAAAAATAACGAACCGGCATCCCCCATAGTTTTAACGAGCTTCCGCCCGTTTCGTAAATGGGATGGAGGCTGCTGGTGCCCTGGGAGCCAATCCGGCGCTCCCAAGCACCCAAGCAGTGCACCGTGGCTGTTTCTGATTGGCCGGCGAGCCCTTTAAAAGCGGCTCCGCGCGGCCGTACAGCTCATTGCTGCAGAGGGCGAGGGAGAAGAGAAGAGGTCCGGGAGGGTTTGCATTGGGTTGGCTTGCAACTGCTTGGATTGGATTCATTCCTTGCTTATTATTCCTTGCTTGGATTCATTCCTTCCTTCGGTTTTTGTGAATTTGTTTGTTAATTTTCCATTTTTAAATATTTTTTAATATTTTCTAAAAATACCTGCCTTTTATTCTTAAAAAAATACAAAAAATATTCTAAAAAAGAAAAGACTCTTCTGTTGGTGTTTGCTCTCACTTGCCCTGTCTCGTGGCTGTGTTTGGTCCACATCAGGGCCAGTTTTTGGTTAATTTTCCATTTTTGAATATTTTCTAAAAATACCTGCTGTAGAGAAGTGATTATTATAACTGTGTTTTAAACTGTGTTTATGCTTTACATTGTAGCCATGACCTAGCTGAGAGGGTTAGGTCTACATCAGGGCCAGTTTAGTTAATTTTCCATTTCTGAACATTTTCTAAAAATACCTGCCTTTTATTCTTAAAAAAAACACAAAAATATTCTAAAAAATTCAAAGACTCTTCTGTGGCTGTGTGCTCTAGTTGGTCCCTGTTTGTGGCTGTGTTAGCTGTACATCAGGGCGAGCATTTTGTGCGTTTTCCATTTTTGAACATTTTCTAAAAATACCTGTCCTTTTATTCTTAAAAAAAAAAAAATATTCTAAAAAAGAAAAGACTCTTCTGTTGGTGTGTGCTCTCGTTTGCCCTGTCTCGTGGCTGTGTTTGGTCCACATCAGGGCCAGTTTTTGGTTAATTTTCCATTTCTGAATATTTTCTAAAAATACCTGTCTTTTATTCTTAAAAAAAAAAAAATATTCTAAAAAAGAAAAGACTCTTCTGTTGGTGTGTGCTCTCATTTGCCCTGTCTCGTGGCTGTGTTTGGTCCACATCAGGGCCAGTTTTTGGTTAAGTTTCCATTTTTGAATATTTTCTAAAAATACCTGCCTTTTATTCTTAAAAAATACAAAAAATATTCTAAAAAAATAAAAGAGGCTTCGGTGGCTGTGTGTGCGTTTGTCATTTGTGTAGTTCCAACCAGTGCGCTCCTTTTGCCAACACAAAGTGCTATAATACAGTGCTCGCTCATCATTTGTGTAGTTCCAACCAGTGCGCTCCTTTTGCCAACCCAAAATATTTAATAACGAAGTTATTAATAACGAAGTTTTAATAACGAAGTTTCGGAAGTCGCTTTGCGCATGCGCAAAGCGTCCGCCGTTTTAACGAATCGATTCGTTATAACCTTAACGAATCGACCCCGCGCCAATAACGAAGCTTCGGAAGTGATTTTGCGCATGCGCGGGGGGTCCGCCATCTTAACGAAACGTTTCGTAAATATTTACGAAATTTCGTAAATACCGAAACTTTTTTTGGGGAAAATTTTGTAATTATTTTAAATATCGAAACAAAAAAACACCCCAATTACAAATCGATTTTAGAACCAAATTTTTTCTTGTTACCCAGGCCTAATAGAGACATTCAGCATGCATAGTATTCACAGGAAATGGTGGAAAGGAAGCATACTTTATGGGCATGCCATGAGTTACAATCTCATACTGACTATTTAAAATCAAATAAGCTCAATGAGTACTGTCTTACTAAGAGCCCAGTAAATGGTGTCAATGGCTTCACATATATCGGATTAAGTTGTCCATCTCAATATAACTATGCAACATTGAACAAGCTTTACAAAATAGACTTATGTAGCTGATTTTGTATTTTGAAGTCAGCTTCTTGATATAAAGAACTTGCAAAGGGGCCTGGGTAAAGAAAGGGCCTCACCTAGCTTACAAAACTTCCTGATGCCATTATTTCTACTACAACAGATGTACTGAAGATGTCACAAGAAACTTTAAAGAGCGTAGCTGATACCGAATGGCACTAGATGAGACTTTATTCTGAAGTGGCCATATTTTATCATGTCAGAAGTGACTTGAGAAACTGCAAGTGACTTCTCATGTGCAAGAATTGGTTGTCTGCAGGGGACACCCAGATGTGTTACCATCCTGTGGGAGGCTTCTCTCATGTCCCCGCATGGGAAGCTGGAGCTGACAGACAGCAGCTCACGTTCAGGTCAGCAGTTCAGCCAGCACAAGGGTTTAACCCATTGCACCACCACAGCTCCTTGAAGTAGCCATGGCAAAGGCTCACTTGCCCTAAACACTGTATGCAGAGTTTGGGTGGTAACAGACACTTCCTGGCCCATTTTACAAAAATAGCAATGCACAAACTGAAGCCAATAATACATTATGGAATAAAACATGTTAATATCCTACCTTCTCAGTAATCTTTTCTGATGGTGAGACAATAATGTTGGTAGATTCTGGACCTTGTTGCTTCCGAATTCTGGCATACAGTGCTCTAATTTCTACTTCATTCTTCATGGCTGAAATGACAGTTTAGACATTTTAGTAATGAAATTGATACGTACCCCGAACAATCTCTTGTTGTTGTTGTTCATTCGTTCAGTCGTCTCCGACTCTTCGTGACCTCATGGACCAGCCCACGCCAGAGCTCCCTGTCAGCCATCACTACCCCCAGCTCCTTCAAGGTCAATCCAGTCACTTCAAGGATCCCATCCATCTTGCCCTTGGTCAGCCCCTCTTCCTTTTTCCTTCCACTTTCCCCAGCATAATTGTCTTCTCTAGGCTTTTCCTGTCTCCTCATGATGTGGCCAAAGTACTTCAACTTTGTCTCTAGTATCTTTCCCTCCAGTGAGCAGTCGGGCTTTATTTCCTGGAGGATGGACTGATTGGATCTTCTCGCAGTCCAAGGCACTCTCAGAACTTTCCTCCAACACCACAGCTCAAAAGCATCGATCTTCCTTCGCTCAGCCTTCCCTAAGGTCCAGCTCTCACATCCGTAGTTACTACAGAGAATACCATTGCTTTTACTATGTGGATCTTGGTTGCCAGTGTGATGTCTATACTCTTCACTATTTTATCGATTGGTCATTGCTCTTCTCCAAAGAAGTAAGTGTCTCCCGATTTCCTGGCTGCAGTCTGCGTCTGCAGTAATCTTTGCACCTAGAAATACAAAGTCTGTCACTGCCTCCACATTTTCTCCCTCTATTTCCCAGTTGTCAATCATTCTCTTACAAAACACCAAAAAAAAAGAACTGGTGGCTGGAGCACATCAAGGGCCCACTGTGTCCATAAGTCTGTCCACAGAATATGCCAAACTAATGTCTATGGCAGTCACAAAGACGGCAAGGGTTCAATATCTTTTCTCCCTGTCATGCTCCCCAGCACCTGGTATAGATATATTCTTGGTATAGTCAATGACAGTCTTCTATTCCATATCTCTTGTCTATTTCACCTTTAAAAGTATCCACTGTAGTGTCCATCATGGTATCTTGTGCTAGTGAGTTCCACTGTTCACGTATGCCATTCTGTGAAGAAGCACTCTTTAAAATCTGCCCTGAATCTCCTGACATTGATCTTTAGGTGACTGACCTGGGTTCTAGTATTAATTCTACCGATCCAGTTTTCCCCCAGCAGTTACAATATTATATGCCTCTATTGTAGATTTTAGGCCCTCCTTGTGGTGCAGCAGATTAAACCACTGAGCTGCTAAACTTGCTAACTGAAAGGTCAGCGGTTCGAATCTGGAGAACGGGATGAGCTCCCGCTGTTAGCCCCAGCTTCTGCCAACCTAGCAGTTTGAAAACATACAAATGTGAGTAGATCAATAGGTACCGCTTCTGCAGGAAGGTAACAGCGCTCCATGCAGTCATGCTGGCCACATGACCTAGGAGGTGTCTATGGACAATGCCAGCTCTTCGGCTTAGAAATAGGAGTGGATCGACAACAAATCGGATAGGATAGGATTAGATCTCATCACATTGGGTCGGGTGGGGGGGGGGGAATGCTACAAATAAACAAACAACCAAACCTCCTGGTTACATTTTTCTTTTAACCTACAAATCATATTGTAATTATTTGTTCCAGGGCATTGATCATTTTGGTTGCCCTTTTTTGCACTTTCTTGTAGATAATTCAAGATGCTTAATATGGCAAGTCACAACTCTTACTTGCTTTATAGATCTTAAACATGGACAATTGATATGTGCCTGTTAATGTTTATCAATGCACAAGTCTTGCCCTATGCCTATTGAGACCACCATGACCCCACAGAGCAGGAAAGCCATTTCCATCCTCTTCAGAGTAGCATTAATGTGCTATGCCTGATCCAACATTTGTTACATTGATGCAGGTTTATGATGGTTTAGCAAACTGCTACCTACTGATATATAGATACAATATTGCTAATTTTATTGCATTTTTTTGGATTCTGTAGCAAATGCAAAGAATGCATCATATATACTGTCCAATTTGTATTGATTATACAATAACAGCCTGTTCATATTATACAATAAAATGGAAGGTATTGGTGAAGGGGCAAGAAATCAAACGATCTTCAGAAAATTTCTTGCTGCAAATTGACTTCAAAATGCAAACGTAGTTTTCACACAATTAATGGATTAGTGGAAAGAAGCAATTAATGCAAAAAAGAGGATAGGCAGAATTTTATCTTTGCCAGTAGACCTAGGCAAAGGCAAACTGCTACAGCATCTCCTAGCTTATGTGTTAATCCTCATCAATAACTTTTACCATTTTGGTCAAACTCTGATGTTGTTTGGCTGCATGTGTCCTGCTTTTCATCTTTGAACCAACTTGGATTCCTATATGAAGCCAAACAGTCACAAGTGTGAATCACTTTGGAGCACCACCCTTCTTATTCCCAAGATCCTACATACAATTTAAGTTTTTTGGTATATTTATTAGGTTTGTGCAAAATAGTTGTTTCTGCCTCATAGGTCATATAATTTCATAAGATTTTTACATACGAGGTGATATTAAGAAACATGAGGGGTGCTGCCGCAAAAAACAAAGAATCACCTATGACTTTTCATTGCAGTTCAATAAACTTCATAAGTTTCCCAAAGTCAGTTGGTGTGAAGCCAAAGAGGCTATTCCTCTTTAAATTAAGGAGAGTGAGATTGCCTGTCGCCATTGGAAGGCCAAGCTGGGAGAGATACTGAGAATTCTGAAAAATGTAGTTTGGGAAGGTGAGAACCCCTGTGGCAGAGAGTTCAAAAGACTCTGTTCTAAACTACATTTCCCAGAATTCTGCTCACATCCCCAATGTCCTTCTGTAGGAGCAGCAGACTTCCAATAAATTATTGAATCTGCAAAAATGACTGAGTAAGTAAATTTGTGCTGGACTGGGAGGAAAATCCCTAAGTTGAAGTTATATGGTATATGCTGTGTGTCATAGAGAGAGAGAGAGAGATTCAAGGGGATAGCTGTTGTGGCTTTTTAAAAAAAGTTTTTGTCAAAACTTTAGAAATTCCCCAAAAATGAGCAGATGTGAGAATGTTTCTGAAACTTGGGGAGAAAGATGCCTGGGTTAGCTTGTGCCATTGTATACAAAATCAGACAGATAGCTCTTGATGTTTTTAGAAAAAAATGTTGTTTTTAAAAACTTTTAAAAAAATGCCCCCAAATCAGTGAATGAGCAAAACATTCTGAAACCTGGGGGGGGGGGGTTTACAGTGGTAAATGTATACTACAGTTGTAGCAAGTTTCATGCTGATAGCTCTAACAATGAAGAAGAAAGCAGACCCTAAAGTTTCCCCATCAGCACAATTACTTAACAAAAAAAGTAACGAAAAAGTTACAGTTATAGTTATTTTAGAAACACTTTAGAAACTATTCAATGCGGCCCCTAATGTAGTACTGAGTATTGAAACATTTTTTTCATTGATTACTCAGGCCTATAACTAATTACAACAAGATCTTTTAGTATATGGGATATAAAGTACCTTTTCTGCTCATGAAGGGTTGTCCAGCAGAAACACAAACAATCATGTCTCTTTCTATTTCATCCCATGTTTGCAATCTCTCACCAACAGGTGTATAGAGTATATTTGCAGGTTGTGGCATTTTTAGCTGCACTGTACAGCTGTCAAGTAACTGAAAATTTAAAAAAAATTCATTAGTTTATGGGTATAAGTATCATCAGAAATAACTGATTCTAAAGAAAACATGTTAACCACAGATAACTGAAAACAACTATGTCCACAGATCATACACAGTTTTGAGTGCACATGAACTTACACACAATGCATTTTACTTGAAGACATATTTTGCTTGAGAGCAAAATACTGGGTTGAAACATTTCAATTTAGATCTGGTAAAATGAAGCAAAATTAAATAAAAATTACAGTGATATCGCAAAAATCACGGAATATCACAAATCTATTGCTGTTGATTGAAGTCAGCATTCTTATGGAAATATGATCACATATATGCTAGAACTTTAGCCAAATATTTATTTATTTAGTCAATTTAGAAAATATTTTTCTGCTTTACCTCTGAAATTGTTTTCCCCCAGGCATGAGCTCCCTGTTCAGCTGCACTTCCATTTGCATAAGCCCACACTCTTTTTGCTGCAGGCTGTTTGTAGAGACTTCGTTGACCTTTTATAAGCCTTTTGGAAGAAACCGGGAAACTTCTTTTGACCTGCAATGCTTGAAGCTCTGAAAGATGCATCTAATTGTGAAAAACAGTCATTTCAAAATGTAGAATGTGTGAGAACAGTCTTGTATGCAACAAAACAAATGGCAACAGCTGAGTAACTGAACCATCCTTGTACCATGCTAGAGTTATACACAGCTCTATTTGATCGTATCAACAAGGACGAATAATTTAAAACACTGTCTTTACAAGTTTATTTTTGAGGTTCCAGAAGATTTCTTTTCTAAAAAATCTGGATAGCTCAGAGGGTACAGAAACTTGGGAGGCAAGCATTGCTGGATATGAGGGCTGCATTTAGTTGTAGCTGCTGATTTTTAACCTTACAGGAATCCCTCGAAAAAGAGTTGCACAAACTTACTACATAGATATGCATTTATGCTTTAGAGCAGTGCTACTCAAAGTAGAGGTCTTTGAACTCTGGCTCTGAGACACTGGCTGCTGGTTCCTGGCAGTTTTCAAAGAAAAAAAAGAAACGATTATAGCCAATAGGCAAAAGCATGGTCCTTGTCTTTGGCACACTGGAAAAACCAATTGCTTATCCTCCATGTCAGACAGCCCAAGAAGTATTGCTTTAGAGCAGGCACCCTCAAACTACGGCCCTCCAGCTGTTTGAGCCTCCAACTCCGAAAAGCCCTAATAAGCTTGTTCAGTTGCCAGGAATTCTGGGAGTTGAAGGCTCAAATAACTGGTGGGGGGGGGGCACAGTTTGAGGATGCCTGCTTTAGAATACTTTGGTGCACAAATGATCCTATAAAAATTACAGTAATTATTGTTGTAGTAGTCACCACCATGGAGGGAGTAGTACAAACACTGGACAGCCACCTGAAGAAAATGTTAGTTTTCCATGGCAAAATTCCTGTAGCTCAAACTCTTTCTTACATATTTTGGTTACCTGATATAGCAACAGTTATTAATTACAATAAGAGCATATCATATTAGCCAGGTGAAACATCCCATTTCTCCTGGCTTCGCCAGAGAACTGAGGGACAGTGGGGCGAATCTGTTGCCCTGTGCGCCACTCCCTAACAGCACTGCTTCCCCCATCACACAAAGCCACACGGATCCGTGCTTTGCCAAAGTTGTGCAGATCTGTGCTGTCTCCATTAGAGCCAACACAACATGGGAAGCTTCCCATGTTGCAAGAGAAGTGTTGTATGACACTTCCACTGATTGTGGGAGGGGACAGTGAGGAAGTGTCCTTGGATGCTAAAAAAGCCCTGTGTGATGAAGTGGTAAGACTACATTGTGGTCCTGTACATTATAATGAATATAGTCCCTTGCTTTAAATTCAGTTTTTAATAGAGATTAAAAATGAAAAAAATTACTCATGTGCTTACTGAAGAAGAATTTTTCTTTAGGAACAAACATTTAACTTAACTCAACCTTGGTGCTAAAAATAACAGAATACATCTTTTAGGAACCATCCAGAGATTTAAAGGAAAGGAATCACGGTAGCAAAAATTTTCAGATAATATAACCAGAAAAAACAGTAAATATAGAGACTTTTATTATTTCCTTTTCTTCTCATTTTATATAAAAAGGATATTTATGCTTGAATCTTGATTCTTAACATGTAAGACCTGTGGTTGCAGTGAGGTATCGCTCCATAATTGTCTTTTGATAAGAATGTGTGGCTTTCCCCTCCTCATCAAAACACAGCAAAAAAATATATTGCCATACCTCTGTATGCTGTATCATTTCCATGAGCTTCATCTCTTCTTGTGTTTCTTCAGTCCAGCCTCCTTCTAGAACAACAGGCTGCAGAGGGCTGTTAGTGGGGACCAAAGTCGCTGCCTCAGATTTTGCTATTCGGCGCCCTAAAACAAGGATGGGCTAAAGACTTACTTTTGAAAAAAAGAAATTAGCTTGTATTGTGAGAAAAGGACTCATTTTATTATTCTAAGAAAACAAAAAGCAAAGAAAATCAAATGTGTACTATGCCTCACACAAAGGAAGAGTGGAGAAGATGGTGGGACTGTACTTTGCAGCAAGACTACCCAGCATAGCCATTGGTGAGGGACAATAGGAACTGCAGTCAAACAAAGGCCATGTGTTCCCCAGTCCTAACAGAGATGTCTTATGTTCCCTACACAAAGCGTAATTTTGGTGAAAAAGCAATTCCTTTTGCTGTTTTTTTCTTTAAAAATATACTCCTCCCCCCGATATTCGTTATTGCAATGCTGATGCCTAAGGTTTACAGATTTTCTAACAAGATTCTTAGTGAAATAACTGCATTTGCTTAGTAAAACTTAATGAACCCCAACAGGTATAGTCCAACTCCTTTCTTCTCACAATGGATGGTTTCCATCAGCAAAACAGGGACAGTGAATTTCCAAATCTGTTCTGGATGATTGGAAGGAAAGTTTTAATAACGTGCAGGGTACTTCATTTTGCTGAATATTGTACCCCTTCCCATTTGACTGATGGGTGCTACTTTCTTCATTGGTGGAGGAAACTCTGTTAAGGCAAGGTTTAAAATATATCAACACTTTGGAGATGGCTGGAGAGACAGAGGGAGGGAGGGAGGGAGGGAGCAAGAGGGCATATTTTCTACGATAGATAAGGCAGCAGCAGTGAAGCCGCAGCAGTGCAGCTAAATAACAACAAGAACAACACTTTATTTATATTCCACCCTTCTCACCCCAAAGGGGACTCAGGGCAGATCACAAGTACACATGCACAACAAACATTCAATGCTGTTTATATAGACAGTACACAGACAGACAGCACAGAAGGAGGTGTTGTTTCAATGCCATGGACAGTTGAGCTCGAGTCCACAGGGGGTGCTGTCGCTCCATCCTCTATGACAAAGAGCCATCAGGACTTCCTCATTCCAGCATTTTCTGATCTTTTTCTTTATGGTCTTGTAAAACACCTCCCCTGCTTTTAGCGGTACCTAATTTCTCTAATTACAGCTAAAACTGTTTTCGAACTGCTTAGATAAACAGTGAGAAGGGCTAATGGTCAGCTGATCATGCCAACCCGGGGCTTTGGACTTGCAACCTTTCAGTTGATAGATCTTATAGTTGCTGATGATTTACCAGCTGTACTAAACCTCCGGCTAAACCTTAAAGCTGTTCAAACATGGTGTTTTGAGGGAAAGTCATTAAAAATTTCAAGTGAACATCTGATTAGACTGTATATAGCACACATGCTTTCATTCTCTCTGTCTGAATGCATGTTTTTCTAAAACTTCAGATTTCATTTACAGTATGTTCACATATGCACACACTCTTTTAAATGAGAGTGGCTGATGCTCTTGTTCCATCTGTACTGAACCTATGCTAATATCCAATTCATCAGCACAGGAGACAGGGGAAACCCAAATATGCCCAGACTACACAAAAAAAAAATGTGACAAGACAGCGATGAACGTGCAAAGCATGTTACCTTTTGCTATTACATTTATTGTCCCAACTGCAGAACTGTAGAATCTTTGGTGCAAATATGTCCCAGTGGGAAAAGTCTCACAATGATGCACTTAATAGATTATTTGAGTTGGTATTAAGCTAAATCCATTTTTTTTCTTAGCAAGTACTAACAATTAATTATGAAAAATAATGTGCTTGTGGTGATGATTTAATGCATTTATCTATTTCCCCACAGCCAACTAAGTTCCCCAAGCAATGTATAACAGATGAGAGCATTTAAAACATTAAACACACACACACAAAATATTTTATTACTATAATTAAAAACTTTATTTATATTCCGCCCTCTCTTCCTAAGGGGACTCAGGGAAGATGACAACAGTTTAAAAACTGTTAGAGCAGCCACCTCCTGCTCCAAAAGCCACACAAACCAGCACAGTCTCTGAGTACACTTATGTTCACCTTGAAGTGGGGGAAGTGAATCAGCTATGTGGAGGTGGCATGACAAACAGAGCTTTATTTGCATTAACATGGCATGTTAACAAAAGTCGCAGGTTACTCCAAATTCTCTCCCCAATGTCTGGAGTTACATCGACTGGAGCACAGCATGATTGGAAAAAGGAGGGGGAAGGGGGGTGATTTCCCCTCTCTACTCTCCGACATTGCTTTCTTGCCATGGCCGATGTTACTCCAAGTGACGAGAGATGGACACGAGCCATGTCATCCCTGCTGGCCCCTGCTATGACAATAAAGGAACATTAAGGGTGGTTGTCCAACTGGGTTCAGTGCTGTTGAACTGTCAGAACTACTTACTGCTTTCACAGTGGATGCTGGCCTAGCAGTCAAAATAATCCCAGAGCCAATCAGATTGGTCCAGGAATAAAGAGTCTGTGTAGATGTGCTCCTAGTTGCCTACTAGTATCTCAAAAAGGATGAAAACAGCTGGGTTTCCCCTTGGGGGTAATTCCACATTAATGGAGCTGCTACAGAGAAAGCTACATCAGGTACCCATCAACATAGCATTGTGGGACATGTAACAGGTTCTCTTACTGAGGAGCACAAAATCTGGACTGGTTCATATGGGAAGAAATGGTCTTTCAGACAGTGATGAGTGATAGCATTTATGACTGCACACACTATGATACTGACCTTGCAGTTGTCTAATTCTGTGCTTCATTGTATCCAAGTCTGCCAAAATTTTATCTTTCTCCAGCCACTTTTGTCGTTCTTGTCTCTTGTTTTTTTGCAAAACTATAATAAAAAATATACACATTTATAACCACAAGTCTGTAAATATTGTCCGTTGCCATGGTTGGTTCTTTCAGCAAATAGTTAAAAACCCCAACACAAGCCCCATTTATACAGGCCAAATGAATTTCTCAGGAGTGAATGCATCCACATGATGAGTGGGGTTCATTTTCCCTAATGTCTCCTTCTCCTGCATTAAAAAAAATGGGACACCTACATTTTGAGCCAGTGTAAACAGTATCAACAAAATGTAACACTGTTACTTATTTTAATTTTACTACCCTATCTATTCTTTTGCTGAAGCAGATACTATGGATCCTTTAACCAATGGCTATTGCCATATTTTATTGATTCTATTGCTCTTGCTAATTTTATATGTCTGATTTTAAATGTGTTATTGGTTTTATGTGTTATTATACTGCGCCCAAGAAGGAGCATGTGACTGTTTTTTTAATTTATTAACTACATTTGTACCCCTCCTTCTTACCATGAAGGGGACTCAGGGCGGCCTCACAAAGGCAAAATTCAATGCCATATATACATATGCTTCTGCTAATTTCTGCATATCCAAGATTTCTGTTATTTGAACAACACCCACACATCCTCTATTACAAACTGAAATGGAGGGTAGTTTAACAGATTGTAAGCCTGACATAACCAATTGGGAGTGACGGTCTGGTCCAGATGAGAAAGTGAGGGACCCAGCCTTACAGCCAAGTGATGGGGACCCACGCTGAAACTTACACATTAGTGATATCCCATTTCCATCATGCCAATGGATCTCAATGGTGGGGTTTCAGAGTTCAGCAGGAAACAGGCAGATGCTTGGCCTGATGCTTGGATCTGATCTAAATATGGGGTTTATACTGATTTCCTAAATCTATGGCTCTTACAACCTCACCACAGGACACCACAATATTAAAATACCACAATTTACATCATAGTAACATAATAATCTTCTGTATGTAGTTGCCTTTGGAACGGAATTGATTATTGCTTAGAATCTTATTGGCTAGTCCCAGTTTCAGCAAACCTGTTGAATTAACTGATGACTGATAAATAGATAATTCATATTCATTGAGTCTACTATAGTTGGGACTAATAATGGGATTCAGGCCAAAGTATTCATTTTCTTGTGGTACTTACAGTCCAAAGGCAGAAAAGGTTCTCCACTGGAAACCCAGACTTCAATTGGATTTCTAAGAATGATGGTGAGTAAAACATCATCAATCAAGTTCAAATCTTCTAGAGTCATCACTGATGATGGGGACTTGGTCTTCATTTCCTCCTCTTCTGTTTTCTCTTGACAGAGATAAATTAATAGAGAGATTTATCTTTAGATATTTGGACTGCTGTTACAGTATCATTTATTTCAGTTTCTGATAATACTAATGTTTATGCTTATGTTCTTATACTGTATATTTAAGGATAATGCATGAGGTAGGCAAACCAGCATTGAGATCACAAGCATATCATTGTTGGTTTGCCTCCTCGCCGTGATTCTCTGGTCCCTAGCTATAAAACCTTGCAGTGTTCCTCTCCCACCTTGGTGGATTGGTCTCTTCCTCTTCTATGCTGGTATCCTGGCAATAAAATGATGCTGGGGTGGAATTCTCCCCCCAAATGGGGTTATGAAGGAGTGCGGAAGCCCATTGTGGGACCATGGATTGGGGAATGAGAGCCATTGCGCTATTGAACAGAGATGTGATATCAAATGTGCTCAGTGCACCATGTATCTACTATTAATGATAATACAACTACAGTGGAATAGCAGGTTCATGTGATAAAGTCCTAAGACTCGTCCATATTGAAGCAAGCACCTAAACTAGAATACCGAAACACTAGGAACTCTTGATAGCTAGATGAGACACTTAATCTTAATTCTATATTTCTCATTGCTCAATACTCATAAACAAAGGATCAGATCAGGATGCTTAAATATATTATTTCTGACAATTAGTACCAGTATTTTCTGACACCTCAATTAGATTTGAATGTCTCTGCTCTGTTACTCTTCATACTTGCCTTAGACATCTTACTATATGTTATGATCAGAGGTTTCCATCCACTCCGCAAAATAAACACTTCATTAAGTAACTATCAAGAATAAAGAGTTTATTTATACAATAGGTATCCACTACATTTACCAAGCTTCAAAGACATCTCAGTCTTTTATTCTTCTGGGGGGAAAGTATGGGTCATTGCCAAGCTTTGCTTTGCCAAATTGGTGATTAAGCATAGTTTTTAACCTTTCCTACCTTTTGTTTTACATTTTTGAACTGATGGGATAAGAATCTGTAAACTCAGTAAATCGTTGAAGGATGCCTAATATAAAGCAGTGGCAAACTTTTAATGAGAAGCTTCTGGTGGGCTAGCATATTGCTTAGGAAATCAATAGGCAAGCCAAAGAGAAGAAAGCAGATAAAACAAGTTCTTTTTATTAAATACATCGAATAAAGATTAGAAAATAATATATAGGAAACAAATAAATGAAAAGGAAATATAGGAAAGTGAAATATCACCAAAAGTAAACTAGCTCTAAATTAGAAACATGAAATAGAAATAATGGAGAAAATTGGTCCCTTGTGGATAATGATCAAATGCACAGCTTTGGCTATATAGAGCTCTCACTAAAATAAATAGTGAAGTCTTTCTTATAAAAAACACACACACACAGCCAAGATCAATACCACACTGGGCAGGAAGGCTAAAGTTAACAAGAGATAAAAATCCATAAATTTGTTTACAGTGTTACTTTCATAAAACACATTTAAAAAGACAACCATATTGGCCCATGAGGGTAAAAAAAAAACCCAAAACAAAAAAGAAAATCCACAATTGGATTTAAACTATGTTTCCAAGGACCATGTAAAGTGCCACTAAAGGCAAGTTGCTCTCCATTTAACAAGGAAAACATACTTTAAACCAAAAGAAATAATGTTTTCTTTATGGTTTCAAAGTGGTTGTTTCCCCCATTTCATCAAGACAATCCGAATTCCAGCAAACACTGGAAAAATACATTCCGTAATGATAGCCACGTTGATCTGTTGTACCAAAAATAATTTAAAAGACTTTCCCCCAGAAACTCAGCTACTAATGGGAAAGTCATCATTCTTTAAAAATAACAAAACTGAAATTTCTAAACTTGAAATGGTTAAACTACAGTTTATTGTTAGACTAGCAATTCCAGAAGAGGTCATTTTGTCTGCTTTGCATGGGGCACCATGGCCTATCGGGGGGGGGGGGATCTAGGTTTTGCCTGCTCAGGCTCATGGTCTAACCACCTAAAAGGCAGAGCTGGTGTCACCCAGTGTGGTAACTCATGATGTCACCATCATGAACCTTCTCCCATATCAGACCATATACAATATTGTACTCAAAACTAGAAAATCTGACAAAATCAGCTATTAAAAAAACAGAAGCAATGAAAAAAGTATGTCTTCTAACACGTGCACATGGAACCATCTGATTTGAACTATCATTGTAATTGGGTAATAATAAAAGCTCTGACAGTGCATACACATTAGAGCAGGGGTCCTCAAACTAAGGCCCGAGGGCTGGATACGGCCCTCGAAGATCATTTACCCAGCCCTTGCTCAGGGTCAACCTAAGTCTTAAACAACTTGAAAGCACACAACAACAATCCTATCTCATCAGCCAAAAGCAGGCCCACACTTCCCATTGAAATACTAATAAGTTTATATTTGTTAAATTTGTTCTTAATATTAATTATTATATTGTTTTAAAGTGTTTTTTGCACTACAAATAAGATATGTGCAGTGTGCATAGGAATTCATTCATTCGTTTTTCAAATTATAATCCAGCCCTCCAACAATTTGAGGGACTGTGACTTGGCCCTCTGTTTAAAAAGTTTTAGGTCCCCTGAATTAGAGGATTCCAAAAATAAATTAGAATAGAGCTATAATTATGCAAATGTATTGATACTATACATGTAAGCTAAAATGCTTATCTTATACAATTCTGCTGAAATACTGCACAAATTTATTTAGATAGTCATTTGGTTTAATCCCCTCTGATGATGTCAGTGCATTTTGCAGGTCTTGCACACCCATAGTGATGTCACTATAGCAAAAATGTATTAGAAATAAAATAAGTATGTAGTCTGATTTTGGGTCCACACGCACAGTATACATGAAACCTTATGTTCCAAACCAAAAAAGCACAATTTGAACTTTCTCAACATCCATAAAACCCTATTCAGAGCTTCTTTATTCTCATCCTCCTCCTCCTCCAAACTAGCCCTTTTATAAGGGTGACTAAAATGATCAAGGGTATGGAGAACAAGCCCTATGAGGAGCAACTTAAAGAACTGGGCATGTTTAGCCTGCAGAAGGGAAGGCTGAGAAGAGACATGATGGCCATGTATAAATATGTGAGTGGAAGATATAAAGAGGAGGGAGCAAGCTTGTTTTCTGCTGCCCTGGAGACTAGGACGTGGAACAATGGCTTCAAACTACAGGAAAGGAGATTCCACCTGAACATTAGGAAGAACATCCTAACTTTGAGAGCTGTTCAGCTGTGGAACTCACTGCCCCAGAGTGTGGTGGAGGCTCCTTCTTTGGAGGTTTTTAAACAGAGGCTGGATGGCCATCTCTCGGGGGTGCTTTGAATGTGATTTTTGTGCTTCTAGGCAGAGGGTTGGATTGGATGGCCCATGAGGTCTCTTCCAACTCTATGATTCTATAATATTTCAGACTCTCTGACTCTATTTAATCCTGCTTTTTATCTCTTTCTTTAACAGGCCATGATTTCTCAACCAGGGTTTCCTGGAAACCTAGAATTCCATGATAGGTTCTTAGGGGTTCCATGAAAGATGGTCACTGGAACAAAAAAAAAACCCTTTTGAACTGTAGATATAATTATTTTTATCAACAGAATTTCAACTATTCCTCTAGGGTTGAAAACCTGTTCTGGGTTACCCACAGGCCTTTCACAACATTCTGGAGGCTGCGATTGGCTGGTTCTTAGCAAACTTTCTGAGTTTCTCACTTTATACTTCAGAATTTCTTCTTCTACATAAATATATGCCAAATGTGTGCGCTTTCAAAATGAAAGTGTTTATGTAAAAAAGGGGTTTAGGTCACTAAAAGATTCTTGATAGGATGCACTATCCAAACTACTCACATAACCTTCTAAAATGAAACAAAACAAAATTAAACATTTGTTCAAATACAGACTGCTAGGGTTAATCTTTCTTCTGTGAGGCTCCATTATTCTTTGTGAAATACAAAAGTGAAAGATTTCTGAGAGATTTCTTGGCAGCATACCAAAAAAGAGACTTCCTATAGCTTTTATTACACAAAAGACTTGGCTCTGTGAAGCTTGATAATCTACATGCTAGTTAAATACAAATTTAATTGGGAATTGGCTGATGGTGATATTTTACCTCTCATAGAAAACACAGATGCATTTTCATTGGGGCCAGGAACAGCAGTTGCTCCTTCTTTTCTTTCTTCAGACTCCTGCTTTCTGAAGTAATCCTTCACAGCACACAAGACTAAATCCTGAAGGGTAAGGATCAAAGTCCCTTCTCTGGTGTATAGTCTAGAAGCTGATCTGTTAAGTTCAAGCTGTCGTGTGCATAAAGAGAGTAGCTGAAGGAGGGAAAAGGTTAATATATCATTAAAGTGGCTAATAGAAAACAATTAATAAAATACTTATCATATTGTCATCCCCAAATTTCATATATTTAAGTAGTAATTTGGTAAAGGTAAAGGTTTTCCTCCGACTTTAAGTCCAGTTGTGTCCAACTCTGGGGGTTGGTGCTCATCTCCATTTCTAAGCTGAAGAGCCAGCATTGACCATAGACACCTCCAAGGTCATGTGGCCAGCATGACTGCATAGAGTGTAGTTACTTTCTCACTGAAGTTGTACCTCTTGATCTAACCTAGCAGTTTTCGAACTGCTACGTTAGCAGAAGCTGGGCCTAACAGTAGGAGCCTACCCCTCTCCCTGGGTTTGAACCGATGACCTTTCGGTCAGCAAGTTCAGCACCTCAGTGGTTTAACCCACTGTGCTACCGGGGGCTCCCAGTACATATTGTATCCCTTCCCATTTTGCATTCATAAAACCCTTGTGAGATTGGTCAAAGGCAGTCTTCACTGACCACGTTTCTGCCATTTTTCAATGGCAGAAACCATTATCTGCCATTATCTTCATGCTGGTTGGAGACAATGGAAATTGTGGTCCAACGTGCTTGGAGGACACCATGTTGAGAAAGTTGGGCTAAGAGACAATAACTGTTTAGAAGTCACCACCATCCTAATCCATCATTCAGATACAACACATATCTTTTCTCTCAGATGGTCTGTACATATCACTGGTGGAGAAGGTGGGAAGCTAGTAATACAGATTTGCATGTATATATGCACAGATAAAGATAGCTGTTGATTCCTTGTTTCTTCCAAAGTCTGGTTTAAAAGAACACCCTGGGATATAGTTTGCTGAGGTGGCACTATAGTTTAATGAGCAAATTTACTCCTCTCTGAATTCTTGAAGTCACAGACTTATTGTGAAACAATGCTCTTTCACTGGTGCACTGTAGCTATAAAAAGTGAAAAAGAAATGAGACATTTTGGAATTAAAAAGAAGCCCATATGAGTGTGGAATAAATGTTGAGCTAGTGCTGGGAATGGCAACAAAATCGTCGAAGGCAACATAAATGCCATGTAGAATAATAATCACGATCAGAGAACTACAGCAACAAATACCAACCTCCTGATATATTCTGTAACTTTTACAGGATCTCACCGTGTCCTACTTTGGGGGACCTCTGTGTGCCTGCAAATTCCCCAGTGGCTTAAGCTGCATATTTGTGATAAGTTAAGGAAGCATCAGAAGCCTGCATTGCTGTCTCTCCTTAAAAAGGAACTGTCTCCATAGAGCTGCTTTAAACTTCCCTCTGCATAAGAGAAGCTTGTCTGATGCCCACACTGCCGTTTCAGAGCTCTCTCATTTTTAGTATTGCGTGTGTGTTATATGTTGCATTGCTGAAGATCCCTAGGTGTACTCAATTACTGAGTATATTCTTATAGCTAATAGTAATTTGTTACCTACCATTTTTAAATGAAAAGATGAAAGATAACACACACAATCATGTTGCATTTATGTTAACCACCTTAAATCCTGTGCTGGGAGAAAAGTGGATGCAAATTAAATGTTATATAGACTCAATCATAGAGTTGGAAGAGACCACATGGGCCATTTAGTCGAAACCCCTGCCATGCAGGAAAAGCATAATCAAAATACCCCTGACAGATGGTCATCCAGCTTCTGTTTAAAAATTTCCAAAGAAGGAGCTTTTTTTGTTTTTACTGTGATTTCATCATGTTATTTTACATTTTTTAATTTTTATAGTGTCCAAAGAAATTAATTTTCATGAAGTGTTCAATAATTAATTACCCAAATAAACAAGCAAACAAATACATAGGGAAGGTTTCAGAGGAGTTGTAAACTAATCTTCTTCTTCTTCTTCTTTTACTATCAGCAAAATTATAGAAACACTACATGTTTCAATGTGCTGTACACAAAAAGAGACTTTGTTGTAATTATGTTCCTCATTCATGTTGGATCTAAAAGGCCTGGCTCATATAGAGAAGAGGCACGTGGATCTCACACAGAGAGATGTAAGCATGAGATTACGATCTGTTTTGTTCTGTTTCATAGTTACTCACTGCTTGTCTTTGAAAGGATTGTTACTCACCAGGGGGAAAGTACTTGCAATGATTAGTTGCCCATTTTGGTAACTGGTTCCATTTTTGTATGCAATTATTTTTACAGCTTTTTGATTTACAGCTGCAGACATCTTTTCTGAGATATTGTGCAATGAGGTTTCTGCCTTCAAAGATGCTAGAACTTCTTCTAAATAACACAAGGTACATTCAGCTTCGGAGGTGGATAAGTCAGTCTTTAGGATAAAACAGAGCGAGATCCAGTCATTACTTTTCTAATGACTACTATTATTCATTTCATACTAAATGAAATTCATACAGTCATATGAAAGGGCATTTTAAAAGGTCATTTCACTTTGAGATATTATTCTTTATGAGAATGTGAAGATATACAAATATGGATTGCACCAGGTTACAAGACACAGTAGACACAGCATTGAACTGCTATAAAACTCCTAGCTGAATTATGCATATTGGCCAAGATACCTGCATCATAGATATACTACCTATGTAGCTGATGCACCAAGAAATTGAGTTTGTTCTGCTAATCATCAGGACGTAGTAAGATAACTGTATGTTCCTGCAAGTGATCTGTGGTGTGATGAGGAGTTGCAACTACCACCCCACATGACAGATCACTGGTGGGAGAGGGCAGGAAACTTCATCCTAGTGTACCCTGATTACCAGCAGGACAGATATTTGTTACTTGATATAGCTACCAACTATTAAAGGGGTGGGAGGCATACAATTATGGCAATAGTGTCAGAAACATAAACACTAAACAGTTAATGTCTCAACGGGATGCAAGCTGATATATTTAGACATAACCATGGGAACACACTCCATGTACTGATGGATTACTATGACATTACTGGAATAACTACTAATAGCAAAAAGGAAGGTACATATATCTACAGACTCAATAGAACAAAAATGGTGACACTTTTTGCAAGTGAATTCCACTTGCAATTCAATAAAACAAAATATGGACTGGGATGGATATTTGTTGGACAAGATCTCCTAAACAAAGCCAATCTATTCTCATATTCAAGATTATCTTTACCCTTTCAACAAAAATGCTTCTTACAAGCCCATGCCTCCCAAATTAAACTATGGAGAAAGAAAAACCGGGGGCTACCCTGTCACTTGTACCTAGCTGAATATTCTCCCTCCTGGCCCCAAAGCTATAATTATTTTCCAATTCTCTTCTAACTTCTATTCTTTGTAATAATGCCTTAAAAGCTGCTTGATATGTGATGTTTTATCACCTGTGCTGGCAATCACTATCTCTGTCCCCAATAGCCATTCTGTCAACCGTATTCCATCTTGTTCACTTTTAATAGGATTATAAGCTTTGGGGGAATGGTTCTTTTTATTTGATGCAGTGCATCAATGAATGAAAACCATATAAATCACAATCACCCAGGAAATGCAACTATAAATATAAGGTATGAAGATTTAAGCATAATTGGTGAGTAGCTTTTATGTTGGCTAATTGGAATAATTGGCCTTATTGCCCCTTCCTCAAAAGTGGGAATCTCAGCTTTGCCCTTATATGCTGTTCTTCCCCCAACATAACCATAAATACTGTATAAAAGGGAACAAGAAGTGACTTGTGTTCCGTGGAAAAGTAGGTATGACCCACTAAGTGAATTGTAGTTGTATGAAGCTTTGACATTACACCTCATGGATACTCAAACCCCCAGCAACTAATTGGGAAGCTTATAAACATATACCATAGTTAGCAGGATCAGTACCACAGTACAAGCATTTTAAATCTAATTCTGAACTAATATCCAAGTTCAAATACATATTTTGGGGAATATTTCTAAGCAGTTTAAAGAGAATGACACAAAATGATGGTTACAGTGAAGTTAAGAAAGAAAGTCAGAAAGACTACCACAAACCTTTGTAACATCAAGGCACTTATAGGGCCACACGGATAAATGCTTTCCTCCCTCTGAACCAGAAGCACAGAAGAACACAGTTCCAGGGGACAACTTTTTCAGTTCTTTCTTTCCTCTTAAGCTTCTTGCACAAGCCAAGCATATCATGACCTTCTCCTTTCCAGATGGTGAAAGAAAATAGTAGCCCTAGAAAGAGTAATGCTCAAAATTCTCTAAAAATGAAACAGTAGAATCCAAACCTAATGTACAAATTTTAATTATTTCTGAATTTTTGACAGGAACAAAAAAAAATGTGTTGCTACTTAGGGCTTATTTCTGTGCACTTTTTTGTTTTGACATTATATTTGTTTTAAAATCAACATCTGTATACCCATGAAACTGCCAGCATACATTAACCTTATAGGTGCATGCTACCACCTTAGAGCAAGACTCATGAAGTCTATGGATTGTGTGAAGGATCCAATGTGAGTTCTCAACCTCCCTAATCACCTTCAATTTCCACACAAATTTAAAAAACACATCAAAGTCTTGAAAACATTCAAACACGCTCTTTTGGCCCTTCCATACATTGAAATAACAACACCTTGCTCCCCACCCACAGTCAAAGCATGACCAGGTGTGACACTATCATATTTAGTTTACAAAAATGCCCCCCCCCCAAAGTTTTACAAATGCAGTTTGCTGCCTTGCTCTGAAGAATACACCCTAGGTCTGAAGGTTCGTCTCATTTGAATTAGGCCAGCAGCATGGGATATTACAATGACAATATGGTATGAAATATATCAATTAAAAGAAGGTATCCTCTCCCCTTTTGCCACAGACCTCACCAGAAGTAGATGTAATGGGCTCTGTGGCAAAAGTGGGGAGGAACCGGCATAAGACAGGCAAATTAGCTCCTATGATGAGGTTGTCAGATCTGGGCTTGAGTGGGCCTTTCCTAAGACATTCAGGATCTTGTTTTTAAAGCACTCCAGTTAGACTCATTGTATATTAAGGTCATTGTCCTGCTGGAATATGAAGTTTTGCCCCAGTCTGAAACATGTTCTCCTATAAATCTCCACCTTCCATATTTCATTCCATCTCCCCTGCTCTCAAACCAGAATAGTTTCCCATTAAACAGAACCCCCACAAAGTTATCATGTTTCACCACAGGGAAGGTATAAGAGGCAACACTCCATCTCCCACAATTTCATATTTTTAGAAAGAAGGGCAATCACTAAGGTCACATCTAGCTATTCTTCTGTAGCTGAACATGCAATAATAAGCATCTGCAGGACCCTCTTGGTGATAAATGGCTGATTTGCCTAAGTTTCCCTTTCTACAAAGACCCACCAATTTCATAAAGTGTGGGAAGGGCATTTTTTCCTCCTTACACATGCTTTATATTAGTTCAGTTTTATGCTATGGGAATAATATAAACCATTTTCACTAAGGAGTTTCTGTGGTACACTACTTATTCAGCTAATTCTCTAGGCAGAGTCACAGCTGGCTCTGCCTAAAGAATTTCCATTTTGTAATAACACCTTGTAGTTAATGGTGCTCCTGGGAATGATTTTATTTTGGGCTACTTTTTAATAACTTATCCTGCACAACATTATTCCAGTTTTGGTTGAATTGCTCCTTGGTCTCTATGATGTTGTTTGCTTAGGTATACGTTTCAACAAACTGCAAATTTCCCGGAAGAGGTTTATTTAATATGAGATCATGTGGCACTGGAACTACATACAGGTGGACTCTATTATGTATGTGGCTTCTGGTTACAGCGAAGATAATTTAGGCTTGTTTTTGTTCCTTTAACTTTTGTGCCATGGTAAAATTATTTTGCACCTTCACAATGTTGAGTATCTTGGGGATAGACAGGGATATGTGCCTGACAGGATTCTTGATTTAATCATATATTGCCTCCACATAGGCAATATGTAATAATAATACCAATTGAATGCATTTCAGTTCCAGGTTGTAACGCAATCCAATGTAGGCAAGTCAAATAGGTATCTGAGATATCTGCAAAGTAGTTACATTTGTTATAAAGGAATTGGGATGTACAATATTTGACATCTGTTTCCATTGTATGCAAAGGAATAGGTACAAGAAAAGAGAGAAATAACAACTACTTACCAGTTGGTCTATTTTCTCTGTGTTAGTCACAGAAAATGTACAAATTGAAGCATAATTTGCTGCTGTAATTTCTTGATCCAGAACAGAGCTGTAAAAGGCAGTAAAAACCTTTGTAGATTCCATGTAATTCCACTTTTGATTAGCAGCTCCATTTTTGCATCCTTTGTATTTCTGCAAAACATAAAATATTTATTATCCTATTTTAAAATTTAGAGATTTTTACCTGATTTTTTTTCTCTCTCTCTGTTATATTTTTCTTAAGAAAGAAAAGAAAAGAAGCTATTTTCCATTATCCAAGCAAGACATTTCATTCCACTTGGAGTTGGGCAGAGTAGAACACTGGAATTTAACAGCATTGTAAATACATTTGGAAGATAAATACTAAGAATATCCATAGGCATCAATTACCACTGAATAACAAGCAGGAAATTACAGCAATCCATTCTGCTCAGGGATACGAGAATTTCTCTATTTTGGTTTTGTTGAGTTCACTTCCCATAGAGTTATGGATATCTTGGATTTTATAGATATCTGATAACAATTGTAATGAATTCTGTGTACAAAACCTTGCAACACTGGATCTATAATGTACTGCATACAAATTTTTTAGATCTATTAACGAAATTTCTACAACCAGAGATTCCACCACCACAGAATTATTAAAGATATTGTTTCCTGAAAATATGGAACACAAAGATGATTTCTTAGTATTTTGGGTATATGTAAATGTGATTGGTAAGCAAACGTGTGAAAACAGCCCTCAAAATTATTAAGATGTCTAAGTGTGAATTATCAAAGTGAGGACAAGGTAGCAAAAAGTTCCACAAAGCAGGATTATACATTTCCCTCCTCATCTCACCCCACAAACCCATATTTTACTTGCTTCAGACCCTCCAACTGACCATTTACTGGGGATAGTGGCAGCAAAGCCACTATAGAATACTATAGAAATCCATTTGTTCTGGTGATGAAGAATGCTAAGAGGTAAATACGTTGTTTTCAATTAATGTCATCATTTAGTTCAGCTACACAACATGCATTTTGTTTCTATAATAACTCTGTCTCAGACTTAGCGACATGATAGTTATGGTCAGAGGCGGCCCTAGGTAATTTTCAACGGTAAGCAAACAGTATTTTGGTGCCCCCCCCCCAACCAATAATATATATTTTCTGTTTGTCATGGGAGTTCTGTGTGCCATATTTGGTTCAATTCCATCATTGGTGGAGTTCAGAATGCTCTTTGATTGTAGGTGAACTATACATCCCAGTAACTACACTTGCCGCACTTGCTCCCTTGCCTGGCCCGCTTTGGGTCCGGAGGCGTGCCTGAAGACCCCGGTGTGTGCACCAAAAGTCACCTCTTCTCCTGACTTTCTCCTCAGCCATTGGGACCAAGAGAGAGAGAGAGAGAGACAGAGGTGGAGATGCCCACCTTTCCTGAAGGTAGGCGCAAAAACAAAGGAGGGAGCGGAGGTGGGAGATACCTCCAGCCGGAGGGGCTCCCTGTCTCTCCCTCTTTCTCTCTCTCGCTCAAGGGCCCGGCCCCTTTGGGAAGAGGATTGCCCAGCAGCGAGGCAAGAAAGCCGAGGCTCCCCCGGACTGCTAGGGCTGTTGTGAGCTAAGGGGGCACTCCTCAAGTGGCAGTCGAGGGGCATTTACAGAGGCGCCTCTGCGCCCTTGGCAAAAAAAAGTGTTCTGCGACCGCTTACTTTGCGTAATGGACAAGCCGCCCCTGGTTATGGTAGTAGAATTTTACCACAATGGTTGGTAGTAAGTGATAACAAGTATTATGTTAGCTACATTTGCTAAAAGTCATGTAGTGGTGAAAGTTTCTCTGAAGTAGAACTATTTCACTTATAGTGATTTCATGTGGTGGTAATCATAAGAAGATCCACAACAACACATTACAGTAGCTGCTTTACCTGAACGATAACAGGCCAGCCTTGCATTTCCAGTGGAATCTTTGAATACCCATTCAGTATGTGGGGCATTGATACTGCCAGCACTAGGGTTGGATCATTCGCAAGATGAAAGGTCCTAGAAACAGAAAAAACAAAGAGAGAGCAAGAGTTTACAGAATTATTTATTTATTTATTTATTATTTCATGCATTTCTACCCCGCCCTTCTGCCCCCGAAGGGGGACTCAGGGCAGCCTCACATAAGCATCATATGATGCTGTCAGCATATAACAACAAAGACTACAGTTAAAACAGTAAAAAAATCATTAAAAACATTACACAAATTCATTCACAAGTTCATTAAACAATAAATTAAAACATGCCGATTAAAACCAAGAATTATTCCAAAAGCAAGTAAAAACAGTACTTGCTAGTGATTAGAACAATATACTCTCAGATCATTCTTCTGCCACAGTAGACTAGATTGACAGCTACCTCTACACAAGACCCAGTGTGCATATTTCCAGTGCAGTATAGCATGAAACTGAGGCACACTCATTTTAATCCCATTATAAATGTGAAGATGAATGTGAACTTCAAGAGTCTTATATTGCGTTCCCAATATTGTGCTATTGGGGGAGGGAGTAAAATGGTAGTAGTAGTATAAAGGAGCCCCCGGTGGTGCAATGGGTTAAACTCTTGTGCCGGCAGGACTGAAGACCGACAGGTTGCAGGTTCAAATCAGGGGAGAGCATGGATGAGCTCCCTCTGTCAGCTTCGGCTCCCCATGCAGGGACATGAGAGAAGCCTCCCATAAGGATGGTAAAACATCAAAACATCCGGGCATCCCTTGGGCAACGTCCTTGCAGACGGCCAATTCTCTCACACCAGAAGTGACCTGCAGTTTCTCAAGTCGCTCCTGACACGGAAAAAAAGTAGACCAAGCTTGTTGGCTACAGGATGGGAACTGACAGAGCCTACTACCACAATGTTTATTAAGTCAGGTTCCAAGTTCAGCTGCAATTCCTTCTGAGATCTGTCCCACACTCCTTCATTGTCATATCTGGGTTGTTGTGGGTTTTTGGGGCTGTATGACCATGTTCTAGAAGCATTCTCTTTTGACATTTTGCCTGCATCTATGGCAGGCATCTTCAGAGGTTACATGGCCATACAGCCCAAAAAACCTACAACAACCCAGTGATTCCAGCCATGAAAGCTTTCGACAACACGTTTCGTATCTCTTTTAACTTTTAAGTATTAAAACTTTAGTTCCGTTTTTGACATAAGACCAGATAGAACTCTTTTGGGAATTAAGGCAAATATATGCAGCATCCTTGATGGGGTCCCCACATTGCACATTGGGAATAGGCTACTCAGGATAAATCCAGTTTGGGGGTAAGACTCCGTCCACCCTCTAGTGGCAGGGGTACCATGCAGTGGCCTCCATCAATGTGGATATCAATATCTGCCATTCCACTTGTTCCTAGCAGCTGAGTATTTTCAGTTATCATCAGTTATCAGTGGAATGGACAATTTGTGGATCTAGACCCATGGAAAAATCTATTTTCTTCAGCTGTAGTCAACAGAGATGTGGCCATTTTCTTGCCAACAACAATGTTTGAGTGTTACTGTGTCATTAAATAAAGCCTTGAGCTGACACATTATAATTGTGTCTTATTCCCTTCACTTTGCCTATGCTTGCATGCTTAGAAATATTTTTAGAAAACTTCAGAACTAGCTGTCAATTGAAATGCACAATGTCTGCACTTCAAAAAGAAGTGAAATGGAAAACTGACCTAGTCTGATCTGAGTGCTAATAATGCAATGTAATCCTTGTGAGAATGCATTATATTTTAAACAGTGAATTTGCACCTGCTATCTTCTCTCCATATCCAGTGTTGATTGATATTGTCATACTTCTTTTCCATCAAAACTACTTCAGCCCCAGAACGCAGATACGAATTCTCTACACCCAAAAGAAGACTGGGAAAGTGGAAGTTGATAATTTTCCCATTTCTAAATACAAACTGATGATTATGGATTTTTCCCAGTTCTTCAGACAGTTTTCGTTGATACCTGAAGTAAATAAAAATGCATTTAGTTCTCAGTGTTCTGTGAGTGTTATATCACATCATAAAAGAAAGGGATTAAAAAACAAAAAATGAAGTGAGCACAATCTTTGTTTACTTCTGTAACTTGTATGTTTGATGTCTGAAGTCAAATATATGTCAAAGAAAGCTGCTGAAAAATTAAGTTGGATGGCAGATGATATTGTGGAAGGAAAGGTTCACTGAAAGTATAGAAAGGTCTTGGAATAAAGCACACAGTTGCTTATTGATTCTTGCAAGACACTTTCCTCAATAGCACGCAGGTCTAAACACCACTTTAATCTAGTATGTGCTGGGTTTCTCTGTGCTTAATGGGAACTGGGGGGAAGAATCTGATTCCAGGACAGCAAATGTCTTCAGCCTGGTTTACTTTTTAAATAATCCTGCTAGTTCAGTGTTATAGAGACCAAACAAAGCAAAGAAAGAACACATGATATGTAACAGTGAGCTGGTCAGGGGATAATGAAGACTCTTTCCTAAAAAATAATCGCTGATGTTAACTGCCAACTGAATGTGCAAAATAGTCGGTCTCAAGTAGATCACTTCTAATACCATTTTCATAATCTCTCTTATGCAATTAAGGTTTTCATGCAACTTTCCAGCACCCTTTCTCTATATCTTCTATATCTTAAAAACTTCCTTCTCTTCCATACTATGATACTATACTGACAGCCTTATTGATTAACATTTGTGTGGTTTCTAGAACATGGCAGACCTCTTAGAAGACTAAGATAGTGACAGAACAATTAGGGCACTAAAAACTGGTACAAACAGAAGCCCTAATTTCCTCCTTTGCATATTAAGAGAAGAACGTTTATCTTCTTCAGTTCTTTTTGTGGTCACATACTTTGTGGGAGATCAATAGTTGAATAGTCATAGTGGGTATTTCTGATGGGAATCAGATTTGACCTCAGAAAAACAAATCTTTACCTCAGCTTCCTCATAGCTGAACAGTCACTTATACTTAAATTGACTGATATGGTAACTACACAACCTGCTGATTTTTGACCAACACTAACTCTATGGGTTGGTTGATAGTGTAGAGTGCCAGATGATGGACTAGCCTCAAACATAAAAGTAAAGATTTGGGGCTAACCTTTAACTAGCTAAAGCAGGGGTGTCCAACCTTTTGTCTTCTCCAGGCCACACTGGAAGAAGAAGAATTGTCTTGTGCCACACATAAAATACGATAAAACTAACAATAACTGATGAGCAAAAAAAAATCAGTCAATGTATAATTTTCATGATATCCATCACCACAAATAAGCAAAACAAAAACAAAAGTCCTCGGATAATAATTCTAATTATGCACCACCCTGTTTGGAGGGTCTTTTAAAATTGTTGAGCAGGTCTTCTAGCTGAATTGTTTGCTTTTTTAATGCAAATTACGGATAATACTCTGATATTTGTGAATGTAACATACTCTGATTATTCAATTCCTTTCATCTACAAAGTTTGTGTATAAGAACTGTGCAATGAAGTTACAAAAAAATGAATAAAAATGTAATGTTTTAAATGAGTTTATGAATTTGTGTTGTGCAGCATTCATAATCATCCTGGGCTGTATTCGGTTCATGGACTGCAGACTGGACGAGTCTGAGTTAGAGAATATTTAATCTGATGACTCAGCATTTTTTGGCATCCATATTTTACAATGTATCAGTGTAGAACTGAATTTTCTATATTATTACACATATTATCTTGAGAGCAGATGTATGGACATATTATACACATTCGACTGGCAAAGCATAATTACTGAATGCATTTAACAAGAGACATAGCCATTATCAAGAATACGCCGTTGGTTTATTATTGTGTTCCATTTATTTCCACCATTCATCAGACACAAGTGGACATTTGATAACTGTTGATTTTCCTTTTTTAAACCTGTAATACTTGCTCCATTTTAACACAAATGTGTTTGACTGTTAACAATTGATAAACAACAACTTCCATTAAAAATCAGAGGCAAAAGAAGCTGGAACAGCTCGTTGTTGTTGTTCATTCGTTCAGTCGTCTCCGACTCTTCGTGACCTCATGGACCAGCCCATGCCAGAGCTCCCTGTCGGCCGTCACCACTCCCAGCTCCTTCAAGGTCAGTCCAGTCACTTCAAGGATGCCATCCATCCATCTTGCCCTTGGTCGGCCCCTCTTCCTTTTACCTTCCACTTTCCCCAGCATAATTGTCTTCTCTAGGCTTTGCTGTCTCCTCATGATGTGGCCAAAGTACTTCAATTTTGTCTCTAGTATCCTTCCCTCCAATGAACAGTCGGGCTTTATTTCCTGGAGGATGGACTGGTTGGATCTTCTTGCAGTCCAAGGCACTCTCAGAACTTTCCTCCACAGTTCAAAAACATCTATCTTCCTTCGCTCAGCCTTCCTTAAGGTCCAGCTCTCACATCCGTAGGTTACTACAGGGAATACATGGCTTTGACTATGCAGATCTTTGTTGCCAGTGTGATGTCCCTACTCTTTACTATTTTATCGAGATTGGACATTGCTCTCCTCCCAAGAAGTAAGCGTCTTCTGATTTCCTGGCCACAGTCTGCATCTGCAGTAATCTTTGCACCTAGAAATACAAAGTCTGTCATGGCCTCCACATTTTCTCCCTCTATTTTCCAGTTGTCAATCATTCTTGTTGCCATAATCTTGGGTTTTTTTATGTTTGATGCTTGGTCTGACCTCTCTGCCATGACCGTCCTGTCTTGGGTGGCCCTTCACAGTTTTGCTCATGACATCACTGAGGTGCTCAAGCTCCAGTGCCACGACAAGGCGGTGATCCTTTGCTGGAGTGGAACAGCTCACTATGTATAAAATACAAATATCTGACCTGTCTTTTTTATATAACTCTGCATCTTCAAAGATCTCTTCATCTTTTTCCTTGTGAAGACTGCAGCTCTCATCAAAATCATAGGAAATTTGCTGCCAGGTGTATTTCACAGCTTTATAATATGCATCTGTTTTAAGATGGGATTTTGCATGTGAATTCCTGAAAAGATATAAAAAGTCAATATAGAATTTAGAGCATTACTGGTGCTCATTACTATTTTAAATGCTACATGAAGATTTGGACTGATAATTAAAATTATGCTTCAGAAAGAAATTAACAACTAAAACAGTTACAGTTTTTATCCTTGCATCAATGGGAGTTTAGGGCTGCATCAATATCAGAATTGCAACAACACATATAGCAAGGTTCTTAATTCCACAGAAGAAAATGTCAGCTAAACCCTGAGTGTGTTTTGAACTGATTTGGACAATCGTTTTATCAGTCAAAAACTAAAGTAAAACGAGTAAGAGAAGCTGTACTCTAACTCTACGTTCTATAGTTTATTCAGAAAGCATTATTGCTTTCATAATTTAGAAAGAGAAAAAAAGGGAGGAGCAGCATCAAAAATCCAAGGACGTTGGGAAAGAAGAGAGAAACAATTTCCATGCCCAACTCATTTCAGCTATAAAGATCTGTGAAATACAATCCACCTCATCATATTTCCAGAATGATTATATGTATTATATGAGTGTAAAGGATGGAAAATGGGTATAATAAACAGTAGGTTTGCATGCTGGTGAAATACAAAAAAATGTATCTGAATAAGCATTCCTATATGTTTCTAATCTGAACACTACAGAGCTATACATCTCTTATAGGAAACATGAGAAGCAGAATTCTCAGAAAGAATGATATAAAAATAGATCTCTTAATTAACATCAATAGCCAAAATACATTAAGCTTGTTAAGCATTATCAGTCTTCTTGGAGGAAACAAGGATTCAGACATTTTCTCAAAGTAGCTGTCTTAAGAATAGCCAGAGACTAAACAACACTCTAATGCTCTATATTTAATATACCTGGGATAAGAAGATAAAGGGGATTATTATTGCAACATAAAGTTACAGCTTTCATAACATACATATTGTTATTGGATGCCAAATAATAAGCCATTTTTCAGCTACATTTAAAAGTATTCCAGTTTCTTTCACATGATCCCGCCCCTCTTGTCTTCAGCTTTCATCACTTGCTGCAAACTAAATTGAAAAGTCATTTGTACTTAACTGCCTAGCACACTCAGGCAAAATCAGATTGCTTCAGTCCCTCCTATGTTAATAACTTTTGCCATCTTGATCACATTATGACAACATGGCTCAGTTTTCATCTGTGAGATGTTGGATGAGGGCTATGCAAAATACATTACTAACCCCTATTCAGAATGTGTTTAGTTAACTGTTGCTGGGGAAAGAGAAATGGTCCAAGGTTAGTGGCATCCCAGAATTAATTGCATAATTATAGTAAGGCAAGTACAATTTTGTATTCATATTTGATGCTTCGAAGTTATAACAGCAGTCAAAAATACCACCAAAGTTTTCCCCATCTGGCCAATAAGAAGTCCTTTTGGGAATATTCAGCAAGCCACAGCAGTAGTATTTCCTTGTAAACTATCTCAGTAAATCATCTTCATTAGGTACATGTCTGAATGAATGATTTACTGCTCCCCCCCCCCCTCCAAATCACACATAACGGCTTGCTAGAATATACTACATTTCCCTAGCATTAGTTTAGGGTTTTATGCTCTTGTTCTCATTTCTTCGTTTTGTAAAATGAGGAAAGGGAAGTAATTTAAATGATATAAGGAAATACTCCTTGTGCTATTTATTTGGGTGTTTTCTTTGTTTTGGGAAACCTGGAAGTTTCAAGTAAACTGTGCTGCTGGAGAGAGGAGGATCACTAAGAGGGAATATTTAATACCTCAGTAGAATACAAATATCAGGATGCTTCATGGAAGGCATAACAGTTCACTTGTGATAAAAGCCATTAAGTTGTAGTTCGACATTGCATAAATATTTATTAGACCATCATGATCAGCATAGATAGCCAATGTAGTGCAGTGGTTTGAGAATTTGACTTTGAATCTGAAGACCAAGGTTTGAATCCCCATTCAGCTATGGAAACTCACTGGGTGACCTTGGGCAAGTCATATGCACTCAATCTCAGAGGAAGGCAATGGCAAAAAAGCTTGGTCAAATCCTGCCAAGAACATTCTGTATTATATTCACCTTAGGATTCCCAAAAGTCAGAAACAACTTCAAGAGAATGTGTAATGGTCATATCCAGCTGATTGTGCCAGAAATGATATTGTGCATGTGTAATTATTGCATGTGAGCAAAGAAGTTCACTGAGTAGCATGCGAACACATATTGTGTACTGTTGTTTTACTATGTGATGGTAGTCATGCCAATGTGCATTCATTGTGATACATTACTCCTCAGTGCAAGGCCTTCACAGTGGAAGTGTAATTCCAGTGACATATTTATGGAAGACTGAAGTCATGTCACCTTTCATCCCATGAGTCCTGCATTAAATGCATTGAAGTCTTACTGTATTACTGAAAATACTTTGCTAATTTTAATGATTGTATGAGAAGGAGAAATTTAGAGAACTTATAAATTCTACTGCATAATAATATGTATCATTACAAAACTAACAAAGATTATGTAATAATAATAATAATAATAAGTGAGGGACTTACAAAATGTGACAATGAGTGTATAAAATGATTTTAAATAACATGACAAATATAAACAAGTCAACATGTTTGTATCAGAACAAATGACCTGTATTTATAAATGACCAGTTAAACTGGCCTTGTAAAGCAATCACTAAAAGTAAAGCGAGTTTTCTGAAATCGGTTCATTTTTCTCCCACCTTTTGACTGAGCACATTCCATCATCTCAGCCATTTTGGCAGTTTTCCAGAATTACGAAACCCAGCATTTAAGTTTAAAAGAAATACTGGCATTCACTTGCAAGCAAAATTCTTGTTGCAGTCAGCAGGTTCCAATACATTTCATGTTGTTGAGATTGTTTTTGCTTGTTGTAGCCAAAACAAAAGTGAACAAAAAAGGGGAAAAGATCCAATAAAACATCCCTATGGCTGGCTAACAATGAAAGGAAAGTCAGAGAAGTAAACTTAAATTTCAATTTAAAAACAATAATCTCTATCAACAAAATTTAATTTGTGTCTGTTGTCAAAAACATCAAATGAAAATGACAGAATTGATTTTTATCAGATCTAGCGGGTATTTTTAGGATGGTTTCATTTAAAATATATCCTATATAGTCTACACAAAATTCACTTGGAGAGGCACTAGATTTGCCCCATTTGGATTAGATTTTCACCACATTTGGAGATTGTGTTTTGAGAGAGTCTGATTTAAAATGTAGCATATGTCATATACATTGAATTGGCTCAAAGTAGGGAATTTAATTTTTTCAACCATAATGATTTGATAATAATTGAAAGATTTTTTAAAATAACTTTTAAACTTTTGCTGTAAGTATATAAGGAAAACTAAGTACTCACCACAGTGAAGAATCATAGCTTCTTTACTGCTTTAAGAATCATGGCTCCATCTTATATAAGCCTGGAATTTGTACTTCAAAAATCACCCAATGTGAATCTATTCACTATGAAATTAATGCAGTTTGATACTACTTTAACTGCCATGGCCTGATGCTGTGCAATCACAGGAAGTTGTAATTTTTTATCTTTAGCCTTCTTGGCCCAAAAGAGTGAACGCACCTCCAAGCTAACAAACACAGCTAACAAACACAATGATCTGTATGAAGGGGAAAAATAATCATCAATGGGTTGTAAGTTTTTCAGGCTGTATGGCCATGTTCTGGTGGCATTCTCTCCTGATGTTTCGCCTGTATCTATGGCAAGCATCCTCCGGATGCTTGCCATAAATGCAGGTGAAACATCAGGAGAGAATGCTTCTGGAACATGGCCATACAGCCTGAAAAACTTACAACCCATTGATGATTATTTTTTCCCCTTCACACAGATCATTGTGTTTGTTAGCTGATTTGGAGTCTAAGATAATCATCCAGGAACATTGTAAGGAAGGAGAAATCTGGAAAAATCCCCACTTTGCCTAGTTCTTACAGCAGGAGGCCTCTGTACTCTGGTTCCTTCTGTGAGTACAGAAATCTTTCCCATCACAGAAAGGTAAAACCATATACTCTGTATAATCTCACACTAAGAAACAAGAAAACTTTACTGCTGTCTATTGTCGATTTCATATCAGTTCCAACTTATGGAAACTCTATTACAGAGTTGTCCTGGCAAGAATATTTAGAGATTTTTCATTGCCATCCTCTAAGGTCAAGAGATTTTGACTTGTCCAACGCTGAAAGGTTGCTATAGCTGACCCAGACTTTGAAGCCTGGTTTCTTCCTTGCTGACTTGGGAAACAAAATCTGGTCTGTCTAAGTTGAGTTCATTTGAAGGTCACACTGTGAATGAGCAAAACTAAAAAATGAGAGTATTCTTGAAATCATTCTGAAATATTTTTGTGTCTTCAGATCTGTAACCATATTCTTGCAATCATTTTATTCTACAGTTTTTATATTCAAGAGGATTGTGCATAATACACACACACACACACACACATATCCTTTCTAACACAGATACTTCACCACTGGTGAGTAATTCATGCTTCCAATATCACTCTGTAGTATCAACCATACAGAATAGCAGTAACAGCTAGTCTATAATTTCTAAATGACTGCTTCCAATACCAGTATGTTTTCAACTTTTCAGAAAACAACACTGCCACCTATTGCATAGATGACTAAATGCAGGTTGTTTTTACAATAGCAGATTGTGGCTACTGTGGAAAGTTATGTACCATTACAAATATTTCAAATCCCTCAGTCCATAGCATCAACCCATGGCAGTTGAAGTGGAGTCAAACTACTGTAATTCAACAGTGTAGATGCACTCATATAATTATCTGCCCTGATTCCCCAAACTAAATTAACAGCCAAGAGCTATGTCGAATAGCAGAAATCGGTTGTACTAGGGATCCTGTTTGTTAGTCAGACAATCATTTGTAAGAAAGGACTATTACCCATATGAATCTGAATCTCAATCACCAGCAGAACGTATCTTTTTCACCCAGTGCAGCTCCTGGCAGTTAAAGTGGATGTGAAGAAGGAAGAGATGGGCCTAAAGCTTTGAAACATTTTCAGGACTTTAATTAACGTTTAGTGTACTCCCCAGAGTACTCTTCTTGGGAAAGAGGGGTCTCCCTAGGAAAGGAACCCACCCCGACCCCCAAATATTTCCAGTCTAGTGGAAACTCTGACCTCACTCAGAAGCCTCCGTTTGACCTCCTTCTTTCCTTCCCTCCTTAGACCTATATTGGCTCCATCCCTGTTTTGAATTCAGCTCCCAAAGCTCCTTTCAAACCTCAGATCTTTCTCTGTAAAGCAGCCAAAGCGCAGAGATGCAACACAATGACAATGGAAAGGCTCAAGTAAAGCAATGTGTATGTTTTTAAAAGAAAGCACAATAGAACGCCTGGAATGGCACTGTTGTGGGATCCAGGCAGGTAGAAGGATGTGAGAAGGGATACAAGGATGAAAGAAGGGAGGGAGAAGGGAAATAAGGGTTAGAAGGAAGAAGAAAAGGTATGGAAGAAAGACGAAAGGGAAGGGGGAATGAAAGAAGGGAGACAAGTATCATGGAAGGGTTGGAAAGAAGAAATAGAAAGGAAAGGAGAAAGATGGGAAGGAAAGAGGAGGAAGGGATGGAAAGGGAAAATGAGGGACATAAAGGGAAAAGAAGAGGAAAAGAAAGAAAGGAATGGAGAAAGAAGGAAAGAGAGAAAGAAGGTAAAAGAAGGGAAGGGAAAAAAAGGTGGGAAGAAAGGAGGGAAAGGAGAAATATGGTGGAAAGTATGGGATGGAAGGGGTGAAGGAGGGAAGAAAAGGAGAAAGAAGAGATGGAAGAAGAAGGAAGGGAAGGAAGGGAAGGAGAAAGAAGGGAAGAAAGGTGAAAAGAATGAGGGAAATGAGAAAGAAGGGGGAAAGGAGGGAAGGAAAAGGGAAAGAAGAAAAGTAGGGAGAAAGAAGGGAAAGGAAGGGGGAAAGAAAGAAAAGACAAAAGAAGAGTGGGAAGGGGATAGGATGGAAAGATTGGAAATGAGAAAGAAGAGAAGAAAGGAGGAAGAAAGGAAGAAAGGTGAAAGAGGGCAAGGAAGGAAGGAAGAAGGGAGAGAAGAGGAGAAAGAGAGAAAATGAGACAGAAGAGAAGATGGGGAAAAGAAGGGAAGGAAAGGAGAAAAAACAGTAAAGGGGAAAGGGGAGAAGAAAAGGGAAAAGAGGGGAGGAAAGAAGGAAGAAGAAAAGAAAGGGGAAAGGAGGAGGAGGAGGAGGAGGAGGAGGAGGAGGAGGAGGAGATGTCTCTTTCTGGGAGAAGCCAATGCCCCCCCTTTCCATCTGCCGCCATGCCAGCCATCAGCCTCCCTCCCTCCCCTTCTTTCTTTCTCTCCCTCTCTCCCCCTTGAGTAAAAGGTGAGCAAAAGATAATGGTGGAGCTTTTTCTCAAAAGGGCATTTTGGCTCCTCCCACAAATTGCATAACCATTTCATTTTAAAGCAGAGAATAGAGGGAATACTATCAAATTTATTTATTTATTTATTAACTTCGTTTCTATACCACTTTTCTCAACCCTGGGGGGACTCAAAGCGGTTTACAACATAGTAAATGGCAAATTCAATGCCTCACAAATATATAAAAATATCACATATCTAAATTAATAACATATAACTGTAGATAAAAACTGTTAAAACTATAAAAACATCAAACATAGACATAAGCATGAAACATATTATTGCTGCAATTAACAATGTAAGCTCCTTCTCTTCTCCCCCCACCCCCCAACTCTCTCTCCATAGCCCTTCTTTTTATACCCTCCCTGTTCCCCCACATCAGACAGACACAAAGTTATTTCGGTACAGATTGAATACAAAATGGGGAGGGTAAAAAAAAAAGGCCTGGGCCTTCTTGGGGGGTGGTAAATGTGATATGAGGTCCTTGGGGCGGGTGGAGGGAGAGTCTTATCTGATGATGGTAGTAGGCTACCGATCAGTTTCGTAAAAGTCCAGAGGAACATAGCTTTTATCAGTTGTGGTGTCATAAGTCAGGTGTGGGCTATCACTTGCCAGTAGACTGAGGATGGGTAAGGGCAATGAAGTGCAGCTGCCCCTAAGGAGAGTTGTTGTGTAGGCTGCACCTTCCACTCTGGGGGAGCTGATGTCTCCTGGCCTCCTTTTCACCTCCTCCTTGCTGGCTGTTGGGGGGAGGGGGCAGCGAGGTGTAGCTGCTGCCAAGGAGAGTTGGTGTGTAAGCTGCACCTTCCACATGACGGAATTGGCCATTTTAGCCATCTCTACGTGGATAATTTACATAAAAGTCACTTGCTAACCAGCTTAGAAAGCATCTGAAAAGACTTTTAAAATGCCAAGATATCTCTACTCTACACTTGAAGCTTACAACATGTGATGAACACAGTAGGTTGCCATTTCTTAAGTGGGTGGCTCAGTAGAATTTAATGAATGTGATGAAGTAGTAAGAAAACCTAGATGCCGCCCACAGAACATCTTTTATTGCTCCCAGCCTCCGTTCTAATATATTTATAAGGTAAAGGTAAAGGTTTCCCCTAATATTAAGTCTGGTTGTGTCTGACGGGGGGGGGGGGGGGGGGGGGGGTCATCTCCATTTCTAAGCTGAAGAGTTGGTGTTGTCTGTAGACACCTCCAAGGTCATGTGGCCAGCATGACTGCATGGAGCATTACCTTCCCACAAAAACGGTACTATTGATCTACTCACATTTGCATGTTTTCAAACTGCTAGCTTGACAGAAGCTGGGGCTAACAGTGGGAGCTTACCTCACTCCCTGGATTCAAACCGCCCACCTTTCAGTCAGCAAGTTCAGCAGCTCAGTGGCTTTAACCCACTGCGCCATCTGAGCGCCTAATGTGTGTGTGTGTTTGTGTGTGTGTGTGTAAGCCCACACAAATACTTATTTTACCTTAAAATGAATGGAAGTTCTCTCTCTGCAGTTTGTTCTACCTCCCAATCCTCATCCCCAGACTTTCCCCAAACTAGAAGATTTCAGACTATTTGTGTAGGTTTTTGTTGATTTTCTGGGGCTGGTATAGCACTCAAACTCTACTTTTAGCCATGCCTGATCACTCACCCAAAGAATTACCAGCATCTCCAAACCAATCTTTCCCAACCAAGCTTCAAACTATACTTCAGTATGTTTATATTCAGGATTATCATATTGCTGAAAATAGTGCTAACCTTTGAAAAACAATTTGTGGCTTTTCCCATTAATTGTACACTGGAAGGAGAAGCAATTAAAATGTTTTTAAATTGTAAATAAGAAATGATGTGGAACAATGCCTCCTCAGATTGAGTGCATGTGTGCATCGTAACTGTTGTGATCTAAACATTCTATACATTTATAGCCAAAATATTTACCACATTTACATATACATATCACAGTTGTTGAGATTATCATTTTGGATTACTTACAGACACTTATCTGTGTTGTCCTTTATTTTCTCTGCCTTTTCTTCAATTGGTTTTGCATCTGGCTCTTTGATGACTTTTTTCCTTTCAACATCCATTCTAGCTGTTTCCACAGACAGCTTAGCTCCAATAGCAATGTCATCCTTGACTTCTAAAGCTAAATCTGAAGAAAATTGTGCAAGGAAGTTTGCCCTTAGAGAGCTGCAGAAGAGATTGCTTACCTATCACCACTAATATGCTATAAGGTGACATCTATCCATCATAATTATATGCCCCTGTAGATGGAGTTCCAGTAGTGTGTGCAGCTGAGAGCAACTAAAACAACTAAAGCCAGGGATTTATGTGGCAAGGACCCATATATATCAATTCTATTTATCCCCTTTTGGTATTAGGATGGAAACAATAGTTCTGATTCCTAAAACTATCCTATATCTAACAAGTTAAAGCAAAATTAATTTGCTCTGTGTCTGTTCTTTAAGATTCACTGACACATCACACAACATACATACACATAATTCCCAAGTCACCAAGTTGGCTGAAAGGAAAGTGCCTTTGTGCTTATCCCAGCTTTAGGGTGCTACTGGTATCTTGTGAATTATGATGGTGTAAATTGGATTGATGTTATCACAAGTTAGTTTTTGGCTGCTGCAGAAACTGGCATTCTTCAACTGTGTAATGACCTAAATCCACCCTAAATCCTGCCGTTTCTCAGCTGTAACCCTTTGATGATTTTCCTGGTCACTGTAGAGTAGGAGGAACGGCAGACAAGCATCTATCTATCTTCATATAGCTGGATACAGATCAATGACATGATCCACAGAGACCTCTGGAGGATCCCAAAGATGCCAGGGTTATATATTTTTCATACAAAAGTAGTAATAGCTGGATCACTCCAGCTATTATTTATTTATTTATTTATTTATTTATTTATTTATTTATTAGTGCAACAATAACATTCTCATGTAAAAGAGCCTCTCTCACTGGTACACTAAATATGCCTAATGACAGAACTGGAAAGAACCTATCTTTTGCTCATAATGTGCTCAGGGGGAACCCTGAGATCTTTGCACTCTTATGCATATTATACAAATTATTATTCACATGTGCTATTTTTTTTAAGTACTGGAGAAAATAATCTGCTCACTTTTTGTGTTCCGCATGACACAATAGGCACGGATCGCAGATATGTCTGATACCAAGTTACTAAGTTGGAGACGTTTCTTTGTCTGGGCCATGGTCCACTCCGGATCAATCCATTGTTCTCCGCATGAAACATAAATCTGTTACAAAAAACGATAATTTGTTTTACCTTCATGTGGGAATTCTATTTATTTATGCATTTATTTAATTATATAATGCATATGTTATACATACTGCCTTTCTCTTGATATGGAATCCAAAGAGGCTTACAGGAAGGTTAAAATGAGATACATCTTTTAGGAGGATTACTTAAAAAATACTTAATAAACCAATAAAATACATTTTCATATTAAAATTGCACTAACTTGAAACAATTTTAAGCCTGTTTAAAAACATAACAATACAGATAAAATATAGCACACAGACTTCCTGTTAAAAGACTTTCCACACCACCAATCACCAACTAGCTCTCTAAATAAAAATGGTTTTACCTGCCCAAAAATGAAGAGCAGAGAGGTGGAGTACTGATTGTTTAATCAATTAAAATCTATACCAAAATTTGCAATGCTACACAAATCCATGTGTTTGATCAAACAGTCATCCAACTACATATGTTACCTATTGTGATCAAAATAAAGATCCCATTTTTGAGAAAGGGTTTGGATCTGTTTGTTTTTATTTTACTTTATGCCATTACTAAGAACATGACATGGCAGCATAATATAATTAACCTTTCAACAGAACAAAGCAGAAATTTACCAGGAACTGCATATTACTTCTTCCAAATGAAAGGTTTTCCAGGTTTATATGAAATCTTTGGATCTTAGGTTTACAGAATGTGAAAATAACAATCAATTTACCATTCAACTCCATATGTCATCTACTTTAGATATCTCCTAAATAAACACTTCAGATTTTCTGCAACCTTTGCTCTAAAATTCACTTTTAAAACCAATTTTGACCCAACTGAATATTTTGAATGACGTTCGTTGACAATACAAACATTTTCATGCAAGTAATACAACCTTCAGATTATTTATTTATTTATTTATTTATTTATTTATTTATTTATTTAGAAAATTATGCACTTCATTCATTTGGCATGGCATTTGGTGTGAAATTAATTTTAGGGACTGTAAGTGCTACCTATGAAATGAAACTGTTTCCTTCAAACAACCTGGGCTATTCAACAGGAAAGCTTGCCAGAAAGTGTCAGCCCTCAAGCTGTGTGGCCCTTTAGTGAGGGTGAAGACCTTGAGATTGGCCAAAAGGACATTGAACTTTCCCCATCCCCTGACTGCATGATACTCAGAGGCCCTTCCAGATTCCCATCATACACCCAAAGGTATGACACTGGTGCTCACCAGAATGAATTCCCTCCTATCAACCTGAGAAACAGCAGGTTCCCCAAATTGAACAGATGGATCCCATCATGGCAGAGAAGCTCTAGCAACATTGACCCAACAGACACCCCACCCCCGACCTGGGAAATGCTGGTTAAAAATCCTTGTTATTTATAAATTTCACATCCTTGACCTTCCTTCTAAGTAGTGAAAACAGTGAAATAGTGAAAAACAGCGGTTCTCAAATAGTGAAAACAGCAGTTCTCAAAGTGTGAAACATACTGAGGGGGTCCACATTTCCCACTTCCTCTCCTCCTTCCTCCTCCACCTCCTCCAAGCTTTCCCTCCACCTTCATGCTCCTCCCCCACCTCCCTCACCCCCAAAAGCTTGTTCTCCTCACCTCCCTTGCCATTCAGATTATTCCCCCTTGCTTTTTTTGTTTCCAAAACCCTATTTCCCTCCCACCACTCAGGGAGTGCTTTGATTGTGCATTTCCTTCATGGCAGAAGGGGGTTGGGCTACCTGGCCCCTGGGGTTTCTCCTCCTCCTCCTCCTCCTACTACTACTACTACTACTATTACAAACACTGGATGGCCATCTGTTGGGGATGCTTTGATTGTGCTCTTCCTGCATGACAGAAGGGGGTTGGACTACTTAGCCCCTGGGGTTGCTCCTATTACTACTACTACTACTACTACTACTACTACTACTATTACAAAGACTGGATGGCCATCTGTTGAGGATGTTTTGATTGTGCTTTTCCTGCATGGCAGAAGGAGGTTGGACTGGATGGCCCCAGGGTTGCTCAGGTCGAGGTCCAGGCTATTTGGCCAACCACATCCACTTCTACGAACCTGCCCGGGCCTTGAGTTCTTCAGGAGAGGCCCTTCTCTTGGTTGGTAGGAATAAGAAAGCGGGTTTTCTCGGTGGCTGCTCCTCAACTCTGGAACTTCTTGCTCAGGGAAGTCAGAACGACTCCCTCCCTGCTGTCCTTCCAGCAGCATGCTAAAACCTTTTATTCAAACAGGCATTTAAAGATGGAAGTGCTTAAGATCTAGTCAGGGGATGTTTTGTTTTTAACTTTGAATATGTTTGATGGATTTTAGCTTAATTTTTAAATATTGTTTGTGTTTAATTCTGTTTTAATGTTTGTATATTTGTATATCTAAATTGTATATCAGTGCTTTTATGTCAAGCTGCTTTGAGTCCCTTTTGGGGAGATAAAGTGGGGTATAAATAAATATAATCATCATCATTATCATCATCATCATCATCATCATCATCATCATATTTTCTATTAGTATTAAGGCTGGATATCCATCTGTTGGGGGTGCTTTGTGCTTTTCCTGCATAGCAGAAGGGGGTTGGACTGGATGCCCCTGGGGTCTTCCACTGAAATACTGTTAAGTTTATGTTGGTCAAAAAGTTTGCCCATGCCTAACATATATACATATAATATAATATAACAATATAATATAGAAAAATTTATTGGGGCTCCACAAGACACTTTTGCTTCAAAAAAGGGCTCTGCAAATGAAAAAGTTTGAGAACCCCCGAGTTAAAACAATGGATTGAAATAGACAAGCCAGAGTTAGAATTCTACTTCCACCCTGGAATAATTAAAGCAAGCATAATAAGTAAAAAAAATGAGGTTGCTGTGAGTAAAAAATGACTTTTGTACAAATCAGCAAGCCTTCATTTGAATTAAGATAGATTATATTTGGATTAAAAGAAACAGAATGGAACAAAATAGACGAGGTTCTTTAGTGCAGCACTTCAAAGGAAATTACAGGAAAAGAGGGTATAGAAAACTTTAAATATGCTCATATTTTGAAAGATTTACATTAAATAAGAATTATTGAATCTGGAGCAGTAATACCTTATAGGGTTGTTTTTTGCACAACAAAATATAAACAGGAATATGTTGAATAAAAAATATGAACACTTCCTGCACTTTTAGCACAATCAATCATTCAGTAAAGTGACTAGTTCTTTCACCTTCAAGGGTGAAGTAAATGTTACTAGCTGAAAATTCCTCTGGTCACTTAACAAGTTGCTTAAATATTTCATTCCTCTTCATCCCCAAAGGAGAAACTGGAATGGTCAAAGTTACTTCATGCTGTTGCCTTGTGCTCTGAGCAAAATCATAAAATCAAATTAAATCTACAGAAATTTTAACATTCTGTTTCAGATGCCAGACCTTATTTCTAAATTCTGCTTATCTGCTGTAGGAGTTAATGCTACTTAGTTCCTTTGATTTCAGCATGCATATTCCAATATGTTACTGAAGTTGAACTTATATGCTTTTCCTGTGATGCAGCAGGATACAAGTGCACCAGCATTTTTCAGTAATATAGTAATGGAACCAGCCTTCACCAATATCTATTTAATCTTTGTGTTTGGATATAGAAAAAGTCTTGTTTTGAAATGCTGCTGAAGACAGCTTTAATTATTCACTACTGAAGTGTTTGCCAATATAACAGCCTGCATTTACTTCTTTCAAAAAAGAAAACAGATTGCTTTCTGTAGAAATAAATTACTCCCATTGATTCATGTGAAAGATAAAAAATGGAAAATATAGGAATGAAGTACTATGAAAAAAGTTATGGTATGGACAAAACACTAACCACTATAATAAACAGTAGAGCATCTAGACTGGATCTATAGTGACCAGTACTGTGGGGATGATTTAGCATGTCCTACACTGGATTGGATCTGGGTATGGCCACACAATCACCCCCATAGCCACTGCTGAAGTGGGAAGAAGTCCCCTCTCTCTGGTGGCACCAAACATTGACTGACTCCATTGGGTGGCCATCCTTCTTGTCCCTCTTCAATAGATATTAGTTTGTCATGTTGATCTCTGGCCATGACATGGGTCCAACCTGTCCACTGTCGCATGCAGTGATGTCACCTGGGGCAATGGGGCACCAAGGAAAGGGGGAATCCCCCTCCTCCTCCCTCTCTCTTCTCAGATTGTCCCATCGCCCTGGCCGATGTCACTGTGTACACTGGGGGATAGGTGGTACCCATGTCATGGCTGGAGACTGACATTCCATATCCCCAGGCTGCCCAAGTCCAGGGCATGGGTGGCAATGAGAACAGTTGCAGACATGGAGAGGAGGGGAAGGAGACTGCTATCCCATATCCCCAGTCCACCGAAGCCTAGGAAACACAGGGTGGCAGCAAGAACAGTTGCAGCCAGTCCCATGTCAGAACCTTCCCACAGACCCAAAGTTAGGAGATAGGCCAAACTCTGGGCAGGAATTCCTACTTTCCTCCATCTTTGAGTAATGTGAGATAAGACCTGGGCAACATTTTGCCACTACAGGTCTGATCTGGTTTTACACTAACCCAAGTGTTCAATGTAGATGTGGTGGGCCAGCCATCAATATATTGTCCTGAAGAGATAGCAGTAATGTTATCACTGCTAAACATCTAGATCATTGCAAGAAGATAACAGCACTTAGTGACTCCTTTTTAAGTACAGTGCCACCACCTCTTTGGATGAATAGCTAAGGGATAATGCTATAACAGAATTGGCACTGGGGATGTATGGAGGGAATCCTCAAAGTTTCACATTTGCATCAAAACTGGATCACTGTAGTTTGTCAGGAGAAAGTGTATTTCCTTCTGCTAGGCTATTAGCATTAATACTGGGCTGCTGGTGACACATTCTCTGGGATACAGGTGTCAATGAAAAGAATGACCAACCAATGGAAGCCCAGGAATGGGTATACAGAATCAAATGAAAACAAGCCAGCATAACACAGCTCAGTGCAAAGGCTTGGAATGACACAAGTTATTGTTTACCAATATGTGTTCACTTCATAGGAAATTTTACATACGAGTCATGCTTTGAATTTCTTTTTTCAATTTTTCTTACCAACTGATCTTTTTCCAAGTCTTTCAAAAGAAAGATTTCCATCCCATTTCCAGTGAAGAGTCTTCTAGCAGCAAAAGGCAATTTCAGTGCCGCAGTGCACCTTATGAACAAAACAAAAAAAGGCATGTGTGGCTTGATTTGCACTACATCTTCAACACTTGAAGGAACAGAAATGGCTTATTACAAACAGGGCAACTGCATTGTTTCTTAGAAATACAATTAACCCAGCACCATTATAACCCCAAAAGGATGTCGCTTTGTTCATGTTTTAAGAGCTATAAGCCAAGGCATCTCAGGAGAGCTGTTATTAAGTTTCAGTGAAAATAGTTCCAGGTTTAGAAAACAACTAATCTGATCCACAGGGAGCAATTTAAAGACTGGTGATCCCTCAACTATACAGATCAGTGAGAGACAATCTTTGCAGAATAACAAAGTCAGTGCTTTTCAGAGGGCCTTTATTCTTCCTGGGTTCAAATCAAAGCTGTTTCATTTGGGAGTTTTGTAATACATTTATACTTATTTTGGATTCTTGTCTTTGAAGCTGTAGTGAAACATTTGACAGTATCTTATATCCTGCAATGGTTTATTATTATTATTATTATTATTATTATTATTATTATTATTATTTACTTCACTTGCATACTGCTTTTCTCCCCCCAGCAGTTTCCAACATAATTATGGCAAAATTTAATGCCTCACATACAGAAACCTAACATAATGACAATACCATACAATTATCAATTAAATCATAAAGCACAACATCATTTAACATTAAAATATGGAAATAAAAACATATCAATATTATGAATTGTTTGTTCTGTTTTAGCCAAGATGAGGGAAACATACCCTTGGCATTCTCTAGGGCTTGATTCTAGTACCTCCCTGCTTCCTGGCCCCAATGGCCAAAATTCATGAATGCTCAAGTTCTGTTACATGCAATAGCATAGTAAAATAATGTCCCTTTTATAAAATAGAAAGATTAAGCTTTGCTTTTTTTCAATTGTTTTCCTTTGGAATACTTTCAAGCCCTAGGTGGTTGAATCTAGAATACAGAATATGTGGGTACAAAGGACAGGCTGTACTTACTTTGTTATTTATTTAATGTATATCCCACCTACATCCTTGTACAGGATTCAAGATTACACAAAATGTATAAAATAAAATAAAACATTAAAAACAGTATTAGTAGATAAAACAGAATCCCCTAGTCTGTGATGGAATTGGGCATCTTTAATACCCCCACCATCCACATTAAAGCAGAAATCTCCAAATAGGACAATAGCAGATTGCAATGTGGACTTCCTTACCGTTCCAAAAAGTGCAGAAATTCTACTCTGTACATTTCCTTTTCTGAATTTGCACCAGTCTTCAGTAGTGTCTTTCCTTTCTGTTTCTTTTCTGGGCCAGCTTTTCTACATCAAATTAATCATATCAACAATGAAAAATAGCACTAAGTAATTTTGAAAAATACAGTAGATTCTATGTTGACTAGCACCCATTGGGATTGGTAGAAGCTAGATAACTTTAGCTTCTTGTTGCTTGAGAGTTACTATTTAAAAAAAGGCCTAACCAATACTATATCCCATACTATACTATGCCATAAACTCTTAACTGAAACACTCAATTGAAACATACTCATCTACCTCAAACAGACAAGAGTTATTTCTCCCACCCTGGACATTCCAGATATATAAACCCCATTTTCCTAGTTTCCAACAGACCTCACAACCTCTGAGGATGCCTGCTATAGATGCAGGCAAAATGTCAGGAACATGGCCATACAGCCCGGAAAACTCACAACAACCCACTGATTACAGCCATGAAAACCTTCTACAATATACTTAACTCTGTATTGACTTGATATCAATACTGAAATACAGTAATTAAAAGCCAATTATTGTCTTTTCAGTGAGTCATGTTGCTTCATAATATGCCCAAAGTATGACAGCTTCATCCAGCATTCACAACCATATACATTTGCTATATTCCTAGATGTTTCTGAGATCTCAGAAACTATGGATACATGTAGGAAGCAAGATGAATCCAGTTCCAAGCTATATGGAATTTATCTGTAATTCCCTACACTTAAACTGATTTTTTAAAAATGTCTGAAGAGAGCAAGTGCAGCATAATGATGTAACATAAAGAAAGATTTCTTAGCCCCAATTCTTCCCATGAAACTTGTTAATGGTTTATTATGTCTTGGCATTTTCCCTCTTTTATTTACTAATTGTTTCTCATCCTGTGTTGATTTATTACTCTTAGAAGTTAATTATTGAGCAGGGAAGAGAACACAGAAGTAAAGTTATGCTACCATCTCCCAGGATGGCAAACCACACTCCTATTCTTCCCAGCAAACTCAATATCAATTTGATGAGAAGCCCTTTCAGACTACACAGTTATTGACCTATTATACTTTAACTGCCATGTCTGCATCCTATGGGACCCTAGGATCTGTCGTGTGGAGAGGCAATAGATCAGGCATGGGCAAACTTTGGCCCTCCAGGTGTTTTGGACTTCAACTCTCATAATTCCTAACAGCCAATAGAAGTTAAAGTCCAAAACACCTGGAGAGCCAAAGTTTGCCCATGCTTGCACTAGATTGTACTCAGAAGTCTAAGTGGACATCTCAAAACTGTAAATCCAAGGACTTACAATTTAGGGCAGATGAAGCTGAATCGTAGTGCTATAACTATGTACCATATATACACATGTAGAGGTCAACATGTATAAGTTGAGGGCAGGTTTTAGGGCCAAAATTATGGGTTTTGGTATGAACCATGGATAGGTCAAGGGTCATTCCACAGAGAGGGAATTCTAAAGGGCCAGAGTCAGCACCATGATGGAGATTGTTGAGGGGATCGATTATTCTTTTAGGTTTTCCCAAGACAGAGTCATCTTTTACCTTTTGCCACTCTACTCAGAGAAGGGGGTGGTTCCTTTTTCTTGTTTTCTTTTTCTTTTTGCTAAGAGTTAAGGTTTAGTATTCACACTGACTCTTGGATAAGTTGACTCAGGGTTTTTTGGGGGGTTGATTTTTTTAACTAAAATATCTATATTTATTCATGAACATATACTATATAGGATAGTTAGAAAGGGTCCTAGAACTAGATATGTGGTATCAATGTTAAGGAATTGATAGTTGATACTGTATTGACAGCAAAGGTTAAAATCTCTTTACAACCTCAAACTGGTACTAGTTATGCACTATTATTAAATCCATCTATATGCTCATCTATCATGAGAATAATGGGGGAATATTTCTTATATGACCTGAAATGGAAATTTAACGATTTCATAAAAACTGGTATGGGGAACTTTTTAGATGTTGCCTCAGATCTAGAGAAAAACTTTTTTAAAAGCTGAAGCCATTCATTAAATTTCTATGTAAAAAGATCTGAATAATTTTAAGAACAGCATATTCACATTTTAGATCTGGCAGAGGGAGAACTAATTATGAGATGTATGCGTCAAAGATTTCAATTTCAGGCTTGACTTTACTTTGAAGATTATTTTTTTAACTTTATCATTTTTGCAGGCAGCCCAGTGGACAGCCTATCTGAATGCTACTCATTGTTCAGCGATGTATGAAGTGTATTTAATCAATCTGAAAAAGTAATATTAACCATTATCAAAAGCATCAGATGTTCTAAAACCCTTAAAAGAAAGGTCAAAAGGTGACATCTCTGCTAACAATGTGAGAAACGATGTATTTAACTTATTCTTTACATCAAAGCCTTTCATTCCTATATGAATATTCAAAGTTCTCTTATATAAAACTGACGAATAAATGCTCTTTCCAAGCATAATATCCACTGTTTAAGTGGTGCATCCAAACAGACATAATCTATATATCTATAATATATAGTTACATTCCATAAAAAATAGAAATTATTGGTTTCCTATGGAAACTGCATAAAGGAAACTTGATGTGTATTATTGTGCAGAATACCAAATGTGAGCATAGGAATACTTCTTTATAGTCTTGTAATTCGTTGGAGACATAATTATAAATTATTTCTATCAGGGTCATTTAGATATTGCAACTGACTCCCATTTCCTTCATTCCATTGTTCATATATTCACATAAGAAAAATGTGCTGAAGCTTTTGTGTAACAATAGCACAAAACAGGCAGCTGATCTATTTCAGCAACTGGACCAAACAGTCAAGATACAACAGTTGTGCCACACAAACCATGTCTTCCCACAGTTCTGTGCTCACTACCATTCTAATGTGACTGATGAAAAACTATGCCAGACTTAGGTGCATCTACACTGAAGAATTGGTGCAATTTGACACTGCTTTAACTGCCATAGCTCAATGTTACGGAATTCTGGGGATGTGTATTTGGCGAGGCACCAACACTTTGGCACAGAAGATTAAAGTAATTATAAAATTACAATTCTCGTGATTCTACAGCACTCCCCCATGGAAGTCAGTTTGGTGTGAAACTGCATTAATTCTATAGTGTAGATGTACTCTTAGTTTCCTTAATCAGTGGATATTATGGAAAGAGCATTTATTCGTCAGTTTTATATAAGATGGCCTTAGTCACCTCCAGACTGGATTACTGTAATACACCCTACATGGGGTTGCCCCTGAAAACAGCCTGGAAATTTCAATTGGTACAACGGACGGCAGCCAGGTTACTAACTGGTGCTTCTTACAGAGAGTGGTCAACCCTCCTGTTTAAGGAGCTCCACTGACTGCCGTTCATTTTCCGGTCCCAATTCAAGGTGCAGGTTCTTACCTACAAAGCCCTGAATGGTTTGGGACCCGCCTAGCTGCATGACCGCATTTCTGTGTATGAACCCACACGATCTCTTCAATCATCTGGAGAGGCCCTGTTCATGCTCCCACCTCCTTCGCAGGTGCAATTGGTGGGGACGAGGGAGAAGGCCTTCTCGGTGGTGGCCCCCTGACTCTGGAACTCACTTCCCAGGGACATCAGACATGCCCCCAACTCCTGCAGTCTTTCGGAGGAGCCTGAAAACATGGTTGTTCCAGTGTGCCTTCCCAGAATAAGGAAAACTCTCAGCAATATGCCCTCAAAATGCACTTTACCACTGATTTAGGACTGACTGCATTCCCTCATTTCTCTCTGAAAATCCTATCCCAGTTATATCCTACCTTGTTCACGTCAGCATTATTTTTTAATTTTAATCTATTACATTTGTCCCGGTCATTGGTTTTAAATGCTTGTATGTTACTGTTGATTGTTTATTGCCTATTTTTGTTTATGTGATTTATATGAATTGTATTGTATTGATTGTTTTATTGATGTTTTGTTTATTGATGTATTGTGAGCTTGGCCTCATGTAAGCCACACCGAGTCCCTTGGGGAGATGGTAGCGGGGTACAAATAAAGTTTTATTATTGTTATATTATTATTTCCTTTGCCACTGCAAAGCGGAAGGGTTCTTGATACTTTTAGTGATTGTGACATAGGTGTTTGTTTTCTTAAAAAAAAAAGATAAAATCGAATAAAATATTTAATCATGATTGCTTCTAAAAATTAACTGGCAAGTTCTTACTGTTTTTTCATCATAGTTGAACAATCCACTCCAAGAATAAAGACAGCCTTGTTTTTGTCATGTTCTCCATTTTTCAGTACCTTCAGTTTCAAAGGCATGTAGCTTTCTGACCTCTTAGAAGAAGGTTTCTTTAAAGGAGGACTGTTTGGAATCAGCAAACCTTCAATGGGCCACTCAAAAGCCTTTCAGTAAACAAATACAATGGTTTTACATTAGAATTATAACAATATCAACACTTTTTCACAGTTAGAAAAAGTTGGAGAGATATATACACAAACACACACAAACTTGAGCAATTGGTCCAGTTCTGTGAGGTGAATAGGCATCGGCAACCTCATATTGTGCGCTTTTGCAGAGAGCTGAGATGCAAGACCTCCAGTCTGTACCAACAAATCCCATCTCTTCTACATATATAACTCAGCTAACAAAAGGTTATTTATTAAATGGTTTTTCCTAAGTTATTCAAATGCCTGGACGTTTTAGCCCTATATTTTGTCAAAAACACGTTGGTGTCATCACAGATAAAAACAGAAAGTCCCTTTCCCAAGGAAGAAATGTGCATATTTACAATCATTCTGTTATTATATTTCTGTTTTTCAAAAAGTTTTAAAACATGCAAATTGTAATAGTGTTGCTGGGATTAAGCAGAAATAAATAATAATTCAGTTAGCAATAGAAAATTCTACTAATTGTACTGTGGACAAATTTTTACTGTGATATGAATTAAAAAAACAAAGAATATACTTTTTGGCAGCAACATAATGGGAATTATCTTATTGCTTTGACTAATTGTTTTGACCACCTTATCACGTTGAGAAATTTCCCAGTTGTAGGATGCTTCAGCCTCTTTTCAAGCATGGAGAGGCACTGAGCTCATAAAATGAGTTAAAATACTTCCAACTGTCATGCATAGCCCTCCATGGCTGAAAAGAGGCAGAAGTATCCCGAAAGGAGGGAACTCTGGCAATCTGACCTCATCAAATTAAGACATTTCCCCCTCATAGGACACTTCAGCCTCTTTTCAAGCATGAAGAGACATGGAGCTCATCACATGTTCAAGGGTTGAAAAGAGGCAGAAATGTCCTGAAAGAAGGGAACTCTGAACACGGGCCAGAAATCAGGTTTAGAGCTCCTACTTCTTATTGCACTTTACTCTCATGTTTACAAATGAAAAACAGGAGGGAGGTGAACCATCAAAAGTTTCATTGCCCAACCATCAGCAGTTTCTTGTATCCTATGGGGTTTGGTGCAGAACAATATGGTCCCATGGAAAGCAATGGTTTCAACCTGATCACTGTCTCTTGTACTCTATGAGGTTTGATGCAGAGCCATAGGATCCCATGAAAAGCAATGGTTTTAACCTGAAGCACTGTCTCTTGTATCCTATGCAGTTTGAAGCAGAACCATAGGATCTCATGGAAAGCAATGGTTTTAACCTGGAGCACTGTCTCTTGTACCCTATGTTGTTTGATGCAGAACCATAGGATCCCATGGAAAGCAATGGTTTTAACCTGGATCACTGTCTTTTGTAACCTATGAGGTTTGATGCAGAACCATAGGATGCCATGGAAAGCAATGGTTTTAACCTGGAGCACTTTCTCTTGTATTCTATGGGGGTTTGGGGCAGAACAATAGAATCCCATTTAAAGAAGTGGTTTTAAACTGGTGTCAGTCTCCTTTAATTTAAGGAGGTTTGGGCAGGGCAAGAGATGTTTTTGTATATTTTTATTTCTCCAGATTCAAAACAAAAAGTAGTACTGACATTGTAATGAATGTAAGATTAATTTATTGCCAGCTTTTAAGTTTCCAGTGTAAGTGTGATGGGGAAGCAGAACTTGAAACTACTGACAACATAAAAGGAGTGATTCTCTATTCCTAACAACAAAACACCAAAACTTTCTTTATATCCCACCCCATCTCCCTGTGGGGACTCTGGGCAGGAACTCTTAAAGGGACGGTCATCCATGCTTTCCCCTCTCAATGTGATGAGGTGGTGTGTAGTACTTTTAATATATGTACCACTGGTTGAGGGTCATTCCTGCAAATAGAGTCAAAAGAGAAAGTGAAGGATGAGGGAAGGTTGCCTTTGCCCCTTCTGTGTAGGTCCAGGAGGGGTAATGGGTCGGAGTGCTACTTGTCCCATCTCTTGTCACTGCCTTTCAGCTGGATCCAATACACACTGGTTGCTTCCCCCTTTTTTTTCAGGATGTATTCATTATTTCTCCCCATTTATATCCCTTTCTGTGTCTGTGTTTCTGTAAATGCAGTCATTTTAAAATCAGCAATTCAATTTATCCCCCCACCCCCACCCCCACCCCCCACCGCCCCAATTGCAACTCATCAGATAAACAGATCCTCTCATTCTCTTTAACCTTCTTAAGTGCATTCCCACTGTGCATTTTTAAAAGGAGAGCAAAAGACATGTTTGTTACATGGGCCAAACATTTACCCTTGACTTATCTACATGTCAAAGCATACTCCATAATTTTGGACCCAAAGTCTGCCCTTGACTTATACTTGAGGCCGACTTATTTGTCAGTATAGACTATATATTTAAAAGCAATTTGAAGCTAGTGAACTCTGTCTTCTTAAACTTTTAAAAATGGAACACAACAGCACATTGAAGAAGGAAAACAATGCATCTGAAATCATACTAGCAGACATAGGTGATGTATCAAATAATCATTAAAATAACCTGCCAAACTGCTTGACAATGCTCACTCTTGACATTTCAGCATTAACCAAACCTCTTTATTAGAGCCTCTACTGTGATTATTTTGTGGTAACAAATCCCTTTGTGATAATGTCACATTTTTTTAAAAAAGATGGCACTGATTATTTAGATGCCATATTAATAACATTTGTTCTGAACACCTCTTCCACAATAAAGGTTTTGTTTCTAGTGACAAAGTAACCACTACATTATATGCTCTTTTTCTTTCTCCTATTCTGCACAGGTCTGTGTTCAATTCTCTGTCCACCTCAACCTGTAGTTCAACAATTTGCTCATACAAAGTTTGTTGTTTATGGACAGAATTATACAAGTGAGAAGCAGAAACTTTTTTAAAAACCCTGCAAAACAGCTAATGTGACCATGTTGGCTGAAAGTTTCGCAAAAGAAACCATTGTTCAAAAAGTTACGTCTCCAAGTTCTGGTATAGCACTGCTCAGGCCCGTAGCCAGGATTTCATTTTGGGGGGGGGGGCTAAATTTTTTTCAGGGGGGGTTTCGAGGGGGCTGAGTTTCGGGGGGGGGGCTGAGTCTGAGTGAAAGAGGGTCTAGCCTAGCAAACCTTTTGTATCATTACCCCAATACCCCCATGCATATGGGATATATTGAGTATGGTGATCAGATCATGATATGAATAAACATAACAGTTTAAATAATGCAGCAGTAAGGCCTTTTCGTGAACCACCATGAGAATTTTGGGGGGGGGCTGAAGCCCCTCAAGCCCCCCCCCCCCCCCCGGCTACATGCCTGGCACTGCTAGCAGCTGTTGATGGAGGGTCATTTTCTCTACTTTCCTTCTGCTTGCAGAGAAGATACAAACAATGTATCTTTCTCATGCAAGTAGAGCATGGTATAATACAGGATCATTTGGGAACATGCCATGCATCAGGATCATTGTGTGCAAGAGGCACGGTAACACATGCAACATGGCAGCACATAGCTACCCCTTTCTGTCCAAAAATGGGAGTGTTCAAAAATATGAGAGCAAACTAGCACAATACCAAAGAATAAGGTCTTTGTATTAACATATCTATCTATCTATCTATCTATCAGTGGCAGAGTCGTTAATGGGGTTACCCATTAACTGCCATGGCTCAATGCATCGAAATTCTGGGATTTGTTGTTTTCAAAGACATTCAACCTTTCCTGTCAGAGAGCTTTGATGTCACTACAAACTGCAAATCCCAGGATTCTATAGGAAGAGGCCATGATAGATAAAGTGGTGTCAAATTGCTATAGTTTTGCAGAGTAGATTATCTGTAGAATTCAAATAGTGAGTGAGGCATTTGGAAGAGCAGCTCAGGCTAGAAGAATTTTTTTATTGGACAATGAAGGTGTCCATCACAGCTAATTCAGAGACTAGGGAGTTATTTTGTATAACATTTGTGATATTGTATCTCACGGTTGTGTTGTGTAGTAGTTCATTACAATTATACAATTACACTTCCAAGGTCCAAGTGAGTTACTGTTATGGTTGAAATTGAAACAAAGGAAGAGGGATAATACCAATTAGATAGTTGATGAAGAGTTAAAGAATTCAACTTAGCATAGCAGCTCCCTATGCTGCATTGCAGGATATTGAAGTTGATGAGTTCTTTGCAATATGATATGATTCAAAGGAATGAGGTCAAAAGGCATTTAGGTAGATAGAAACCAAGAGCATATTATTACGAATACTAATAATATAGAGTAAGTGTATATATTTATAAATGTAGATTTTAAATGTGTTTAAGCAGATATGTGCAAATGCCTATGCATGTACTTGCATTACCTCATTTAATTCTCCATTTGGAAGCACCGGCCACATATATGTCAGTTTATTCCACAAAGGATTGTCCACTTTTGAGTGTTTCCATTGACCAGGCTTGCTTATCCCTTCATGCTTAATGGCCCATCTGAAGGAAAAAGAAGAATTTTTTTGATCAGAAGTCTTTTTTACAAGTACAGTGGTGAATATGTTCAAACATTTTAACTCATTAATCTTAAAAATAAAAAGATAAATATAGATAACCTTTAATTGGATTATCTTGGATCAAGAAATTCCTAACCTATGATTTACCTATACTTACACCTGGCTACATTTCTATTTACTTGCTTTCTGATCTCTGGTGTCCTCCTACTTAATTAATTTGATTTGAACATACATTAATTTGATTTGATTTGTGCATGACATTTATAGCAGTGTTTTAATATATGTCTTATTGTTAGTGAGCTCTTATATCATTTTTAAGCAGAATATATGGATATAGCTACACATACAAACATACAATTGTTTATTTATATGTATATGCATGTATACAAATGCCAGATATGATTGTGTATGTATATTTGCATGGGCAAATATACATACAGACTACAGTGAAGGTGGAAACTAGTTACACTGAGCATTGAGTGATTGTGTGTGTGCCTGAAAGAATGCACACACACAATCACTCAATGCTCAGTGTAACTAGTTTCCACCTTCACTGTAGTCTGTTTAGTAACCCATTCCATCTATTACAACCTAAATAATATATTAAGTGCCTTATATGGTGACTTTTACCCATTTTCAAGAAATAAAAACATATAATATACATATTCATGTATAGGTCTAGACATTTTACTGAAAAATCAACCTCCAAAAACTGGGTAGATTTAACCATTGGTCAATGTAAGTACTATATCTTAACTCTCACCAAAAAAGGAATCACCTGCTTCTCTCAGTACAATGGTGAAAGGTGGAATCTTTGCCCATCCTGGGAGAACCTAAAAGTAGCATCAAACCCACCCCCCTGCACACACACACATTGACACAGCACTGCTTTCAGCCTTTTTTGAGACAGTGCCAGCCCTTTCCCCTCTCTGCAGAATAACCCTCTACTTATCCATGAAAGTACTCAATTTTGACCCCAAAACCTGCCCTTGACTTATATATGAGGTTGCCTTATACAGGCAGTCCCCAAGTTACAAAGAAGATAGGTTCTATAGGTTTGTTCTTAAGCTGAATGTGTATGAAAGGCAAAAAAGGAAACACTGACTGACAATTCATATAAAAATATCCATATCTATCACTTGTGATTTGAATGGGGACATTTTGAAACATACACTACATTCTCACGAATGTAAGGATGCCTGCCACAACTGATCTGTGAATGGCTACTGTTGGTATGATAATTTCCACTTCTGAACTGTCAGCATTTCAATTCCCTCTTATCTCACTGTTTATAATTCCAGTCCCATATTTCCAGAAATTACAGGAGACCACTGAATACATCTGAAGAAATCGACTAGTCTACAAACACTTAAGTCATACTAAATTAGTTAACCTGAAATGTGACACAAAATACAAAGCCCATAACATAGAGAACTTTTTGTCATTTCATTCTTAAATGAAATCAAAGTTATTTAAAAGTTCCTATTTTCTTTATTCGTATTCTGTTTTGGATCCAATTGCATATCAGAGAGCTTGTCAGGGTCTGCCAAGTCTTGTTCATTATTGTCAATGAACATTTGCAGCATACACCACATGGCTTTTCCTGAAAGTGCTATTAAGCTGCCAGGTTTTAGCACAGTATGTGTTTTAATAACCAAGCTTAGGTCTCCTGAAAATTGTGTATTATAAAAGAGATGCTGACATTCCTTAACCGCATTAGCATTAATAGGTAGCAATAGAATGATTGTCCAAGTGCTACAAATGCATTTGATATTTCTGTTTTTCTTTGGTTTCTGTCTCTGCTTTTCATATCATCTTTAATTTGAGTTATACTATTTCCCATTAGAAGCCACTAGGGGGAAACAGCGATTCATGAAAGTCCAGTTAAGAGACTTTTCTTTTAAAAGCCGCATTCCCTTTAATTCTGTTTAATGTTATTTCATTTCCATTTTATTACAGAAACATTTCTTCCCCAGACATCTCACAAGGAAGTAAACTTGTGCCTCAGATAGCTGTCAAATCTCTCTTTCTCAAACATGCGTGCACAGCTCAAGACAGGGTTAAAAATAAAGCGACAACCCCATAATCAATAGGTATGCTATTAATCTCTTTGATTATAAAAAAATGTGGGAACCATTGAGTATGACTGCATCTGAAATGAAATACTCTTTTCTGACACTTATCACTTTCTTTTCTATGCTAACTTTGAAAAGAAGTTCTATCCTATGTATGTTCAGTAATCAAAAGTTCCATTTTCTTCACTGGGATTGATGCTCAAGAAAGTCTTTCTTGGACTTTCTTGGACAGTAGCCTTAATTCCATTTTCTCTTGGTTAATTTATCTGCACCACTATGCAAAATTTGTTTGAACTAGAACTGCAAATCAGGTTCATCAGGAAAGGACATTCTGTCCAAAAGTTCAAGAACATTTATGACTCAGGAGTAGAAATCTTTGCACCTCAGTCTCTCCGAAGGCATAGAATTGTATTTAATGGAGAACAAAGTGGCAAGTACAAAATGTTACTAAGCTCTCACATGAATGGAAGTACTGTAATATTTTAATAAAGCTTCCTCTTGTGGCAATTAAGATTGCATATTGTTAAAGAGTGAACCAAAAATAATAATAATTCAAGATAGAGATCCAGAAAAACAGACACTTTGCCCATCCAGATGTTATGAAAAATCCCCCTACGTTCAAATATAAACTTCCTTGCCAATTTAATCTATTAAAAACAACCTTATTGTTGCAAAACATGACTTTTTCACACTTAGTGTGAAAAAGTTGAACATTTCAGAATTGGTTTCACATATTTTGCAGAACCGCAGTCTGAATTGTGGGCTGTCTTGGGCGAAGTTGAGTTCCAGGAGAATAATTTCATGTTATAGAAGCAAACATCTTAAAATAATATGGAAAAGGCAATACTGGGATGCTTGTTTGTAATATTTATATCATACTTTCTAGCTCCAAGACACTTGCAATAATTTTGTAAAATATTTACCCCAAAGAACTGCATCCAAATGTAACAGAAATATATAGTCAAGATTGTTTGGGTACCATTTTCTGCACTTGTCCTTGTTTTCCTTGCTCAGGGCAACTATTCATTGCCTACTAAACACTTGACTCCAGTTAAGACCTCACAGCAAGACAGTAGGTTGAGCAGCTAAAACAATTGTAGCCCATAGTGGAGACCACTAATTTTTGTATGTTTATTATTTATATTAAAGCTTTATCTTCTTCTGAAGAAAATAATTGGGGCAGAGTATAAGGAATTTGTTTAGTCTACAGGTCTTCCCTTGTTTCAATTCTTTGTCGATGTTTTATGAAACACCGAAATACATGTCAGCAAATATATAATACTGTAACAATAATTTTTATTTCCTACCCACCTCTCCCTGAAGCTTGAGGTGGGGCACAACACAGTTAAAAACACACAACCATAAAATATAATGTAAAAAACATATATTACAATGTATTTCTATGATAGACAATCCCTAACTATTTTAATCCCCATTCTTACCCTCAAAACTTGGTTCTCCTTCCTGCACCCTACTTATCTCAACAAATCTGGCAGTTTGGGAGAGAAAAGACAGCCTGGAAAGTAGGGTGAGAGATAGGTAGTTGAAGAATAGGCAACATCTCCAGGGGTCTTGTATGAAGTTAGAGTTCAAAGAGATACTAAGTTTCATCTTGTTTAGCATAAAAAAGGCATAAAAGAATCCAGTAGCATTTTTGATACTACTATATTTACACGCATCTAAGGTGCACCTATTTGGCTAAACTACCATGCCAAAATTGGGGTGTTCATTACATACATGTAATACAGTATGGTGTGGGTGCGTGAGCACACAGGACTGGCCTCCCTGTTTGCCCCAAGTTATAGCTGCCTTCGCCTCCTCCTCCTCCTCCACTCACTGGGGGTGCTGCCTCGCCAGAGCCAGGGCTGTTCCCATTGGCTCATCTGCCTTTGCCCTCCTCATCCTTCTTCTTCTTCTTCTCCTCTCTCTGGGGCCACTGCCTTGCCAGAGCCAGGACTACTCCCACTGGCTCCACGCTGCCTTCACCCTTCTGGGGTGTTGTGAGTAGGTGGGGATAGTGCCCAACAGGGCCCAACTGTGACTGTGTGCAAGGGGGCCTCACCAGCAGCAGAAGGAGGTGGCTTTGGCTCTGGCAAGTGAGTGGAGGCTGAGGGGACTGACCCGGGAGTGAAGGAGGTGGAGGAGTCGAAGGCAGACAGGGAGGCTGGTGTGTGCTCCCATTGCCTCTTCTGTGCCTCTTAAATCGTTCTTTCCATCAGTTTCATCATCGCTGCTTTTATTGGTAGTGGATTCCTTTACATCTTTTCATTTGAGGCAAATTAGTATTTATAGCAAGTTGCTTATAATATAGTATAATGAAAGACAGAGGCAGGTGATAAAAGCTTGATATTTCAATTCCAGCCCATGTTCAGCAGTTCTGATGGAGCTTCTGAGCAGTCCCTTTGTCCATTCCCCTAATGCTGGCATATGGTAAAATCCTCTGTGTTCCATGGAAGATTCCTTAATAAAGAGTCTTAGTTTTGCCTTTCTCAGAGGATTCCTACAACAAAACTTTGTTCCTTTATTTCTTAAAAAAAAAATGATGCAATTTGGTGACATACAGTAAATTGAAAAGTTAAAGAAACAAAGCTTTTTTGAAAACTTAAAATTAATGCAAACCTTTCTCTGTCTTCTTTCAAGTAATAATTATACTGTTTTAATCTGTTAATGAAATAAAATGAAGTACAATATGTAATCTGAATATAAATTCTGCATAATAATGACTGGAGTAAAACAACCCAAAACAGCATGCTCCTAATAAACAGGTACAGAAAAATTAGCAGCTTTGCATACAATTACTGACAAGGGCAAATGATACTTCCCTTGCACATTTACCCCAACAATACAACAGTCAATGTGTGCAGTGGTCTATGACTTATTTTTCTCACAACTATAAACCATACAGGAC